GTTTTAAAAATTACTTATATTTTAAGTTAAAAATATCTTTTTTTTCTTCTGGAAAATAACATAAAAATCATTTCTGTCAAGCATAAGAATAGTAGTTATCTTTGCGTCACTCGCGTAATGTATATTAGTTTTTTCTTTCAAATGCGATTTTTTAAAAAACCTATTTTCTTTGCAACAAAGAGGTGCAGCCATTAACATAACTCAAATATTAAATATATCTTAAAAATAATTTTTAGACTAGATATTTTATCAGTCCCATATTTTTTTATATAAATTACGAAAAGGAATAAAAAACTATTTTTTTTTTTTAAATTAAATATTTTATTAGCAGCAATAAAATTTAATATACATCTTCGTAAAATTTAAAAAGTAGAAAATTCCGCTGCCAATTCCTGTTGCGTTAAACTCGAAGAAGCTTAACAGTGAAAGCGCGAACGTCCGAGAAAATCACTCAGAGATCACTTTCAAATTGCAGTACTGAGTGACAGTGGCAGTAGCAGCGACGGCAACAGCACGACCAGCTGGGACAAAATCAAATTATGCGGCGCCGATTTTTGCGTTCTTAACAACGGAGGCCACGAGAACCTGGAACGGCCTCCGGAGTCGGAGATTTACGAAATCTCCTCGATCTACCTCACATGCGTCATCGTCGCAGTGATTATTGTCGCGCTGTTCGTCGATCCTCTCTCCAGGTAAGTGTCGTGTTTCCACGAAAGTCATCACCTGAGATACCTAAATTGTTCGAGAACGGCCTGTTTTTATTGTTTTATTAGCTGACTTAATGATCGCCATCGTAATACGTTGTAAATTACGCGTTAAACAAGGACAGTTGCGAGAGCAGCTGTATTGAAAGATATTAGAGAGTAGTCGGAACTGACAACTATCTGGTTGCCTACTTTTTAACGTGGCAACAATTTAAGATAACGCGCCGAATATTAATCGAACCGATTTACATATTCGCGCGCGCAAATGTTCGGACAAATTGAACCAACTCGCTTGTTAACAATATAGTTTTTTATTCTATCGGAATACTTAATCAAATATTCCTTCAATACATTGCAATTTATTATATTAATTCAGAATTCAATTACAATTAGAAGTATTATTGCTGGCTCTGTTTGAAAAGAAATAAGATTCAGTGAACTATCCATTTCTTTCTTTCTGGATCATTAATACAGATCGAAAACCATAAATATGCATGATGCGTTCGAAACAAAAAAACAGACAGAATTTGTTCCTTGAAATTTAAATCTACTATTCTGTAGCAAACTTTAACGGAAGTATCAAAGGAAAGAAATGTAAATGAAGATTTATAGATGTATAAGTTGCTTAAGAATGTAAATATACATAATAACTTGTATGTATAATACTTAGCTTGATTATAACTTTTAAAAGCTGATAGCCTTTACTCAAAAAAACATAAAAATTTTATTATTATATATTTTTTCTATTTTTATTTCTATTTTCTCACACATATGTGTAATATTTGACTGAACGCCACGATTGCAAAATATTCGGATTATTATCTAGTGTTGCAATTAAGCGCAAAACAATTAGCGAATCAGTTAATGTGTCTTCGGTGCGTAGAGTTGGAACAAACACTTCCATCAATGCTATTTCGACATTGATCCATACAAGTAGGATGCGAAACTCGTTCGCCACAAAGAAGCGCTTATAATTGCGCATTGGATCAACAATGGAACCTAATTGTAAAGATAGAGCATACCGCAATTGTGCACTGTACGAAAGGTGACATACGCGGCATGTAACAAAAGAAGCTGCCTCCAGCGTGCGTACCAGTCTGCCTTATCGGCATGCACGATCACTGACAATGATATATTTTATCCGCGATTTCGCGTTGAATTGCGCAGCTCAAAGTGTCACCGTCCGCGATGCAGTCGCAATCGCTTTGCGAATATATGGCGACATCACGCGATCGCGTCGTGCTTTCGCTTGTCTATTCGAAATATGAAGCAACGGCCGAGAGAGAACGAGAAAGAAAAGATTTTTCTCTCCCAATTTGATAAGGAATCGGGGCGATGTTTTCGCGCGGTGTCGTTGACTTGCCGGCGGCCGAGAACGTTCTTTAGCGAAACGCACGTCGCTTTGCGTAACAATCAGTGCGATAACTGAAGTCGCAGAAAACTCGTGTTTATTAACAGATGCGTCGTTTCTCGGAAATAACCGCGCAACGTGCAATTCAAACGTTTTCAGCCATTTTTAAATTTGACACGCAAGATTTTCCTGAGAAAAGATTGATTCGTCCGACCTGCTCGTCAAAAAGTTGATTCATGTCCTGTCCGCGACACTAACTAACTTAATTATAATCGCGATTGTCGCGATGACACGTCATTGACGTCACGTAGATTATCCTATCGGGAAATCACATTGAAAAGTCAGTTGCTTCTTTCCTGTTGTTCTTCAAAAGCAGCTAATTGTGAATGAGCAGCTAAGTTTTCGCGATACTGGCGATTTCCGGTTTCGACCGCTTCGTCAACGACTCATCGGCAGAACGTACGCAAAAGAAAAAAAAAAACAGAAAACATTCGGCGGTTTTCGCCGCATTACGAAACGCGACTTGATAGACGCGAAACGTCAACCCGAATTCCCTCTTCTGCTCTCCCTCTATTTCGGGATCGTCGTAACCATTGCTCTGCTTATGATTGCGAAATAGCGTACATCCGACAACACACAGGATGCGTCGGCGTATGGCTGGCAACAGTTGCATAACGCTATACACAAACACAAAAACACATATACACACACACACACAGGTAGCGTGAACTGTACTTATTAAAAGTCGGTAAGTTTCTGGAGGCTCATTGCGTCAACGCTAACAACGTATCCTTCAACACACACTATATTGAACAAATCTTTGTATTTTTTTACCGCTGAATAATTAACTTGAGATTTATTTTTCAATGTGGCTTCCCAGTTGTGCTTGCAATGGCAAAAAATTCGAAGATGTCAAAAATTGATGAAAGCGCTACTATTATCAACCTTGATATTAGAATTACGATGGATATATCGTAATTATTATCGATTGATTGAAGAAATTGGTTTGTGAAATGTAACAACTTTTTTGCTGAACAGATAATTAATTATGGCATTTTTTTCGTAATTAATTGAAGAATGTTCAAACCTGAACAACATAAAGTTGCGAGGGTTGACGACTTCGAAAAGAAATAATTTAATAAATAGATATCATTAATATGAAACATCGCTTCTGCAGTCGAGTTGCGCAGAGTCATATTTTTACTACTCTAAATATACGATGCTGAATAATAATAGCTAAAGAATAATAGCGGATGTATCTATACTATTCACGCGGTGGCACCGTGTCTCGTTCCTGTCGTTGGTAAAATCATTTCCCTCGTATTCGTTCCACCGCGGGAAGATCCCCAAGGACACGTCCGTCCGGATGTAAGCAACTCTTTAATAACACATCATTCGCCAAATTATTATCGGAGCTGGAGATTAGGTAGCAAATCAGCATTTACAAAGTAGTTGGTCTTGCAAAATACATACTTCGGTCAGTTGCGCACGACGTCGGCGCGGCGCACCAACCACCCTCCCCCCCCCCCCCCCCCGCCGTTTGCAATTAATATAGCCTAGCTATTTCGTCATCAAGATGAAAAGATATCGCTAATGCGAACGTGACATTAACGACATTTTAGAGGATCTGTGTATCGTCGGCCGTCAAACGCCGAGAGAAAGAGAGAGAAAAAGACGCGTGTAGGTCTTGTTTCCTGGCCGCACACTTGGCCGATTCATTTAATGAATTGTTTTTATGAACAGCTACGTTGAAATATGCGTTTACGCTTTTCTCGTCGCGCGACATCAAGGCTTCGTTCAATGCGACTTCTCCGATAAATCAGCCGGTTCGGACTATTCGTGATTCACGGAAGGAACAAACGATACGGCATTATGACGCTGGCAATTAGACTGAGCTGATAGATGCTATCGTGCCCGGACTTATTCACGGTTGTAATTACGGCGTTACGGTTCTATGGCTTGCGCGACGACAGATTCTCGTCGTTTCTGCAGTCGTCGCGCAGGATTTTGCGGTCTCCTACTGTTCAATTCAATTCTTTCGCGGTTTCGGTGAATATAATTTTATGTGTTCAGACAATGAGTATTCTTATCTGAATGATCTCTCTAGATTTTATCGTGCATAAAAGCTGCTACATTGGCAAATAAATGCCACAAGTGAATCTGATAAAATCCATTTCTCTATTTTTGATCACATTTCAGCACCAATATTTTATTTTCAAAAAATAAAAAAATTTATGCAATCCTTTATGCATATAAAAAGTTTGCACTTTGCCGTGAAATGCTCTCATTTGACATCAGTTATTCAAATATCTTTTAATTGCATTATTAATTATTGTTGTTGCTCTTTCCAAAATATTTTTATAGAATACATTTAATTAATCAGTTTTTGTTCTTTTATCTATAATAATAAATTCGTCCGGAACTCTGTAAATACGTATTCTTAACTGCTGGGAAAATTTACGACTGCCCAAGTGTCGTAATTCGCAGATTGTTTTTCGCAAGGTCGCAGCTTTTCTGATTTACGTTAACGCAGGTTTTGATAACGAGAAACTCAGTCCGAAAAGAAAACGATGATAAAGCAGTGCCCGTGGTTTGCGTCATATATAAAAGTGTTTCAGAAGTCTGCTCTGTAAATATTCTCGAATTTGTTCCATATTTTTATTGTCATTTTTCGCACATTTTCAATTTTCTAAGTATTGATTTTTAGTATTTTTATCAAACTTGAAAAAGTTGAAGCGAAATCTATTCAAAAGTTGATGAAAAATTAGATTTGATTATTGCTATTTTAAATCTCAAGTTGTTGTCCTTCAATTTAGAAAATTACTTAAAATTTAATAAATAAAAATAATTGATCTATTTAATTTTACTTTCTAATATTTATAGTCGAAAGAAATAGGAAAATATTGCGGTGAAAGACACTCTGTACATATGCATTTTATCGCTGTTTGTGACAAAACAAATGTATTTAGGACGCGCAACAGCACGTACCGATACAATAAAAGCTTCCCACACACACGTATATTTTGCTTGTATTTTCATTTAAAATCTGCTACTTCGAATAGCACTTCTTCGTTATCGCTTCGGGAGCACACATTTTCTTTGTTCGCAAACGTGTGCGCGTTATCGCATGTGTAAGAAACGCAAGTATTGCTGAAATCAAACTCCATTATAATTTTTCATAATTTTAGCACGAGGTGATTCGAATATTTTGTATCACGTTAAAATAATGATGTGTAAAAATGATGTATAATAGTTACAAGCTAATTTAATTACTTTGGCTCATAACTTGCGCTACTAATTCGCTCAATAATTCTCTAACTAATATGTTTTTATATTTTTTCATTAATGATTGGGCGACTTGCGCCTGAGGCTTGTATCAAAGTGTCTTTTTCCACTTCTCTCCGAGCATTGAAGCTCCTGCGATCGCCGATGTAGCGCGTTGCGTAATACGCGAACTGATGCATCATGGTACGGCGCTGCCGTGCTTCATTCATGCGATCGCTTGCGAAGATACGTGCTGTCGTTCGATAATCGCCCACGATGAGATGCAGCGCGATCGTAACGCGCATAATACCAGTGCAGTTAGGAAAACTGACGTTTCCCCTGCACACACATGCGCGTATCCCTTTCCGGTCGCCTCGGCGCGCATATGCACGCCGCTAATTTGCGTTCGTAAATAGACAGACGCATGTGAGGTACTGAGGCACAAGGTAAAGGTGTACGTACCACGTGTCGCGGACACTTGACTCACTTTCGATTTCCGGTACCGGCCGCTTTGATGCTCAACAGTCCCAGACGTGTTGCGTGTCGGCCGTTTGCTACGCTGTAAGCTTAGCTTGTAATGCAGGCGTTGTAGATATAATTAGTGATAATAGTTTCCTCGGGAAATCTGTGTTAGATTAAAAGTAATTGAAGGAGCTTAATTATAGAGTGACGCGGGAAAAGGAGACTTAACATCTTTTGTAATATATGCATTTGACTTTATAATTACATCGAAGTCTTTAAAAAATTAGACTTCTGTAAAATACCATCGCCTAGAAGTAGTAAATTTTATACTTTTTTTTTTTTTAATAAGTTGAACAAAGAAAATTTGATCTCTGAATAGCGTAATAACAAACTTGATTACTCTGCCGAAAAGTCGCGTGCGAATATGCTAAGCATTTTTTAAATTAGCAGCAGAAATTGATACAATTTTATTTTAGTTTCCTAATTCTTGAGAAGTTTATATAATATTTTGCAATGTGAGAATTTTTTAAACTCATGTAACGTAATGTAATATATTGCTTTAAAGTCGTACAAAATTAATCATGGAAAATTAATGATCATTGATCTTCAAAAGATGAAAGTGCGTAAGAAATAATGATTGAAACACTGTTGTTTCCTCCAAATAAAATCTATGCTAATGGATTTCAAGAAAACCGTGAACCTGTTTGACAAGTAGCCAAGTTGCTAACGCACAGTAGCTAATGTGACCATACGTTGTTGCAATCCAGCAGGCGACATCATTAACAGAAAGACAGTCCTGACCCGCATAACGTTCGTCGAGTTATCGAGGAAAGCAAACCGCAGAACAAGACCGCGAGGATCGTAAATTGTCGGAATCATGCTAAATATATAAATTATAAACTTTTCTCTCTTCTTAGTCTTACAACAATGTGTTACGATGTAAATAGAACGGTGATGAATTGCGCGAAATATTATATTTTTCACTATAACTCTCTCGTAATCTTGTTTCTTTTCGCAGTTTGTGATCGAATATAAATTATATAAATATTGAAAAAAAAAAATAGGAAAATGTGTTACGTGCTGATTCGAAACAGCAAATTGTTGCATTCGTATAACTTCAAATGCAAGAAATAAAGTATATTTTTAGAGTTTAAAAACTTCTGGGAAGATATATTTAATATCCGTCAATTTGGCAATCAAAGGTTCGATTGAATACTCTCTTGGGAATAAATTATTCGCGAAGTGTCGAAAGAATTGACGATATTGTAGGTGCGCGTTATTATCCTCTTGCTCTCTTTCCTCCCACTACGCCGTACGTCGTAATGACACTGTCGTCCGTGATATCTGCATACTACGGGTAGAGCGTTACGTAAGATGATGCATGTTAGATCCGTAGATCGTCTCACTTAGCCGCTATCTTCCACTCGCGCTGCTTCCAAGGTTGCGCCGTAACGGTTCAGGCCGAGTCTGTGGAAAGCGCCGCGGAAATATGCACGTCGTGAAGGTGCAAGTCCGCTTGGAAGAAGTGAAAAGTAACGCTCGGACTACGAAATATACGCGAAAGTTCGCACGATCACGTATGAAAAAATTGCGTGGAACAAAAACGCAGAAGAGGAATAGATAATGCGAACGTGAAAGTATTCAACTGTAGACGATGTCCTGTAAGTTGCGAGCAAGGAGCAACAAGTTGATTCGCGTGGAAGAAAATTTCAAAAGAAAAAAGAAAAATTCACGTGATGAATACGGAGCACTAAAGAATCTGTAAAAAATGTTCAAGGAATGCATGAGAGAACGTTCGATTGACGAGCTATGGGAAAATAGATATATTGCACGTGGCTTTTAGAATCGACGATTAACGGTCCGCGATCAATAGTTCGCGCTATGTCAGCGCTAACGATCGATCAAATATTTTTCCACGTCCTCGAGCGGATCGAAGAGAGCCGCGAGATTGGCCGGTAGCCGAGTCCATTGAGTCAGCCGAGTTCTTGAATTATGTATCTGGATTATGCGCGCGGCAACCGGCGTGTGCATAAATATCTTTTCGCGAAACTGTATAATAAACATCCGCCGACTCGCTTTATTCTCTCCGGCTGATTGACTAAGAGAGAGGCGAATCGCTGTAATTTTCAGAGAATATCGAGTTGCGTAAGTCGGCAAATGCAAAGCAAGCCGCTCTGCCAAATATAGAACTCAAATAAAACTAATATCATTTTTCCTTTAATTTAATGTCGGTGGAAATAGTTAATTAATGATTCGTATCGTAATGGGGTTTAAAATAGCAGCGGATGAAAACCGATAGATCTGACATAGAAATGCAGGAAGGCGTCTCGGCTCAATTAAGCAGTCGCCAGTCAGGCAATTTCATCGCTGGGATTTTTTCTGAAATAAGTATGAATTCCCTCAGAATCCACGCGTGCGAGGCGCATAATTTAATCGCTGTCATATTAATACTAATTGCCTCTACCTGACGATACGCTGATGCGCTTCAAACGAGTCACAGTGATCTCTCCTCATTTCGACTTGGTGGCGCCACGAAGGAATCAGCGTACGGGAAAAAAAGTGCGAAGTACATACAATAATGATTCGTCTTTAACACGTCCGAAGGGAACGATCATCCCTGTCGTGGTTATTCATCAAATTGTCAACGCGCGACTAATGACGATTCGCGATTCCAAAGCAATATGGAGCAATCACGCCGTCCCACATCCTCCTGACGTCTCCTTCCGCCTGAAAAAAACACGTTTTTTTATACTTGTTTCAACGCAAGTGTCGATTCGCACCGCGACGATGGCCGTGGCTTCGGCCGGGCCCAGAAAATCCAGCAAACGTGTTCTCAGGAATGCCGTCCCCCGGAGTGGAGAACGTTTACCGAGCTGTCGGGCGTGCGCCGAGCGTTTAGCGGCTTCGGGAGATTTATTTCGCTAATTCGTCGACGAAGCACTGTTGGCTGTTGGCTTACTGGCTCTTGTTGTGTCGCCTCGGGTTCTAACTTCTCGCGAGCGCTTAGGGCCGCATTATCTACACCTGACAATGAGCTATATTTAGCATCGCGATTGTAGTCGCCGAATTTCGCCGCCGGAGCTCGTGTCAATGACTCGTGTCAATGCTGCAACATTCCACTCATTCATTAATCCTACGATATGTAGTACGAATTTTTAAGATCGTAAATTATTTTTTTATTTTTCTCGTTTTTAATCAAATTTTTTGCCGTATTTTCTATATAATTTTTAGTTAAATTTTGAAATAGTTGCAAATCATATATTTTACGCTAAAATAAATTTATTTTTAAATATAATATATAAGCAAAATCTATTTTCTTTTATTTCTTACAAAATTCTGTTTTGGTCTACTTTTAATATTGAATTTCTTCGCGCAAAGATGTTACACAAAAGCAAGCTTTGACTGCGTAGCAAAACTCCTTCCAAGTTTTTCTTAACTAAAGTACCGTTCACGTGCGACTTTAATAGCGCATAAATCTTTCAAACAGATTTTACTAAAGATTAACATCTTGACCAACACGGTTCACAAATGCGGCGTAACATTTCAAGAGATTTTTTCTTTCTTTTTTATCATATTAATGAAAAAATAATATCAGATATATTTACGCTACACATTATTTACATTAAATTAAATTCTCTGTTGGTCTAAAAAATTTTTTCGGAATTAATAATATTCTATAAAACAATTTTATACCGTACATTTTTTTATTTCTCAAAACAGGAAAAATATGATTTATATCACTGTTCCGCTCTGTTACTGATTTGCTATACATAATACACAAAATATGAATCAGCTTCTATTTTGCCCGGTGTACATTCATCCGATCACGACAAAAATGATGAATGAATGTAACTTGGGCACGCGACGTCGTTCAATAGCAATGTACACCGGTACGAGTTTGCTAATTGCGCAACCCACTTCCGCGTGGCTCGCGCTGCACGGACGCTGAATAAGTACGTGGATGGTACAATTGCGTGATAATTAATCGCGGTCGTCATTAATCCCCATCCGAGCGAGTGCGCTCTTCCTCTTTGCGAATAGCGGCGCAAAAGTCCGCCGGAAAATCATATGTTCTAAGCGGTAGCCAATCATCATTGTTCATTCGCGTTTCCCGCTCTTTTGTTCGCCTGATTCTTGACTTGTGTCGCATTATCTATATACACATCGTATGAAATTATGTTCAGCGTAAAATATAATTGCATGAAATATGACGCAGATAGCTGTTTCGGGAAAAATTTGAAATAATTTTTAATTTTGATAAAAATCAAACGTGAATGCTACATATCAATTTCAACAAAACTTTTCAGAAAAATTAAACTCATATTATCTTCATAATTAATTATAAATATGCTAAAGAGTGATAAACGACAAACGTAGATACTTTATACTATTCGGCTGAAATTGATTAAATTTCTGAAATTGCGCAAATTTTTTCTGATTGCGGAAAAGCGAGTGAATGAGAATTCCTCCGTCATCGCTAAAACGTATTATTAGATGAATCGCTCGACCGATACAATTCTGTCTTCCTGGAATCGGGCCGATTATTCCACACACTTGTTTTGTTTCCGTGCGTGTGCTCCATCACGAGAGCTGAAGATTCATTCGTATTTGATGGATAAATGAAACGCAGATAGATGACCTCTCAAGGGGATATGCCGATGCTCAAAGAATTCTCGATTATCTGTCCTCAGGTACGGCGAGAAGCAACGACGTTCGGACAGCCAAGAATTGAGCGGCATTCAATTGCTCTCCGCTACGGCTTACCAGCTGAAAAAGCCTTACCAGCAACTGCTGATACCCATCACGGTATGGATCGGTATGGAGCAGGCTTTCATCGGCGCCGATTTCACACAGGTGAGTCCTTGAAATGCATAATTGAATTTTAAATCGCACTTGTTCCACATTTCTAAATCTGTTGACGCGTTCGAAGGACTGGCTTGCAACTGTCCGATATTAGAAATTTAATCGCAGTTTCTACAATGAGAAATCCGATATTTAAAGACAAGTAAAATACAACTTATGTTTACGATGCAATATTAAAACTTTATTTGAAATAATCGTCTTTAGTTTAATGTGAGCTTAAGAGTCGTAAAAAAATTATTTTCTCTTAAAATTCAAAATTTTATAAATTATTCGTGTAATTAACAATAAATTTTATCTCCGATACTAATATGCGTTAGTGTGTAAGTGAGAGAGAGAGAGAGAGAGAGAGAGAGAAGGAATTTATCGCGATAGATGGATTCATTCACATACATGTTAAAACGTACAATACTTTCTAATGTTGGCTTCGATCACCTGTCGCCATATAAATCACCGATCACTCTCTTTCGCATTAAACTGCAACTTTAAAACAATGGCATTCTATTTTGCAACCAACACGGCCGTGCCGTTTGTTAGCGTGTATCGACCTCTTATTGCAAGATTCACATGTTCCCGCGGGGCATTGATAAGGAGACGGCCGTCCTTGGTTTCGTACCAGGATCCGACATCGACGAAGCGCAATGACGTCAGCTCGATCCGCCTCCGTAATTATCCGAACTCGAACCGTCATCAAGCGTGGCGGAGAGATGAAAAAAAAGAAGGAAAAAGCAGAGTTCCGTATTCTCCCGTTTATAGTTCTCCTTTCTTATTCCTGGGCACGTACCGGCCGGTCGTATTTTATGGCATTGCAGACCACGCGCGCGAAGATTTATCGACGCCACTTCGCAATAGCGTAAATCGTCGCGGCCCGTAGCGGACGTAATTATTCGTCATGACGAACGGCAGTTCTTCGGGAACGGTAAAAGCTCGACCGCGAGAGGAATATTTCATATGGGATACGTGTTGATACAAAAGCTGTCAGCAGGCCGTGCAAGAACGCGGAAAAAGCATCCGGTACTGTGTTACTGACGTAACTAAACTAACGATTCCACTTGCGCGTCGCGCAAATTATTTGCCTTGCTTCAGATCTCTCAATCGATCTGCAAACATTTATTTAACGAGAGCGCTCATCGCGTGTCCGATTATTTTTCAAAGGTCATGAATTGAATCTAACAAAATTATTCGACAGAATTATTTAATTGAATCTGATAAATATTATTCAATCCTTTATTCGACAATTTGGGAGGAACGGTTCTTTTCGATGCACATTTTGTGAATCCGCGGGTAACCTACTTCCGACGAGGCGATATGTATAATGGAAGCCTGTCGTCGGCGTGGTTGTCGAGCGCTGTAACTAGTCAATCTCTCTGCTGGATTTTCTCTTTTTGCGCGCTTCAACTGGCGCCAGTGTCTATCTTAATCCGGTCTCGAGCCACCGCGACGACAGTCTTCATTTTCTTCTGCTCCGTACTCAGCTGATAGTAGGTGTCTTCGCTCGTAATGGGGACCGTAATGGGGCTCGTAAACGGACACTTTTCTTTTCCTTGGCGCAGAAATTGTTGACTACGTGCCTGCATGTCAGATTTTTCTAGATCCTTTCGATCGTCGAGGTTTGACTTTCCATGATTATTGTTAGCTTTTGTTCGAATCAATTTTTTACGGCTTGCAAAAGGTCTTTTCTCGATTTTTCTTTGCTCGAATAACGTCACGATTAATGATGCAACAAGAGATCGATCTGAATTAATTGGATACGCGAAAGATGTGGAACACCGGCTTCTCGATGCGTGACGGACGGGCGAGGATGTACGATCGTCCTCCGGAAGCACGTGTTACCGATAAATACGGGACATGCGGAGATCCAGCTTGTGTTAACTCTTTCGGCCGCGACGAGACTTTATTGAAGAATTATTTATGCACGTAGTGCATTGTTCGATGATATGCTCTGAAAAAATTTCAATATTATCTATAATGGGAATATTCTGCAAGCTTTTGTTATTGTGTGACACATATTTGTCATATTTACGATCTTTAATGAGATAAATTGAAAAATTTATTTCAGTTTGCATTTGCAACAAAATTACAATAGGACATATATTTTTTTTATTAAACATAAAAAGCGAAATACGGCGAAATGAGACCTTGCTGTGCTATGCGGGCATTGAAGTCTTTACGTTTAAAATCGCGCGCGACTGATTTGAGCAAGACACGTGAGGTGAAATCAATAGAAATTTATTGTATTCTTGACAAAAACTTCTGAAGCTCAAAGCGCACAGCAAAACGTGTCAAGATATAATTAGCTAAAAATAACAGCAACAAAAAATTGGAATGTGTTGCAAAAGAAGAAAAGTAATCCGTATGATAATTACACGGAGTAGAGTTAGAAAGTAAACATACATTAGTTGAGATATTCACTATGAAAGCGAGACAAGAAATATGAAATAAGTAAAGGTATAATAAAGAGACATTAAAAGTAAGCGTTCATAGCAGACGTTTTAGTCTGCCAATTTGTGCGTCTGCGTCTGACACGCGAGCGGAAGCATCGTTGAACAAGGAGATACTTGAAAGCAGGATGTAGCACGATACTTGTTCACGCGTAACATAAGGGATGCAATTAAAAGCCTCTCTAAGTCGTTGAGCATCTGGCAAGAGAAAGAAATCGCGCCGGTAATCACCGGCCGTGTGCGAATTACTTTTGAAAAGATGGATTTGCGTAATTTGTACGTTGTCTACCTAGTAATCGAACCGCCTCGCGATATCCTGCATCTTTTCTCGGACAAATACGGTATTCCGCGACCGTAGACAAAAACACGTCTCGCGACGTCGAGCGGCGGCGAGTTGGTTAATTTTTTGCGATTGCGATTGCGATCGGACCGCGACGAGGTTAACGGATCAGCCTTTGCATTTTTTTTATCTCTGAATGAAAAATCGATGGATCATTATCGGCTCGAATTCCACTTGCTTTGATATTTTTGACGTGAGAATATACGATATTTCTTGTAAAAGAATCATCTCCGTGGATTTATATAATCAATAATAATAATCAATAATAATAAATCAAACAATAATATATACATTTGAAGTAAAAGAGAAAATTTTTATTGTAGAAATATCTATTAAAAAATCGATTGAAACAATTTTGTATGATTAATTAAAATTCCTGAATGTTTTGCATAAATTTAATCACATAATTTTTATTAATGAATATATATTGAAAAAGCTTCACCTTTTTTATGTAAGAATTATTTTGATCTAAAAATAGATTCTATTTAAACATTGTTAGATGCGTTTTTCAATCAATGTGTGTGTGAATTGTTAAGCTTATTACACGCGCATATAATAATCTATATGGAAACAAAAATCTACATAAGACGTCGAAATTAATCGAGAAAGGTCGCGCGTCGGGTAAATCCCCTCATTATCGAACAACCCTGCATTACGACAAAAAGTTGCAACTCGTTCGAAACTGGTTTGGACGATGTCTTCGACTCGCGGAGCCGGATAATTGGGCAATTAAACGCAAATAGAGAGAAAACGGGATGGGAGGAGAGAAAGGGAAGAAAAAAAAGAGGAGGACGTGGTGGATACAGGCTTCGCTGAGTCACGTGCGGCGCTGGACTCGATATAAATAGCCCCGTGAGCTTATTCTCGCGCCGATCCGGCGATACCGCTTCCATATCTGGAATCCCGCACCAGTATTTCTTCCACACGTGCACGCATACACGTGCACCGCTTGATCGCAATTCGCTCCGGGTTGATTTCACGAATGATTCGGAACACATAAACTGATTTCGACGTCTTAGATATTGTTCGTCAAAAGTCACATTAAATTATTTTTAAAAAACGCAATGACACGCGTACATTATTTGATTTGCGGTTTGTCGCAGAAAATTTTAATTTGCCGCTGATTGATGCAACAAATTGCATGATTATTAAATGACAATTGAAAAGCATAAATTGTTAATCCTTCAAATTTTTTATTATTAAAAAATTTTGTTTAGTATTCGATCTGAAATATTGTAATATATAAAACGTGAGTAAATAACATTTTATATCACATTTTTCAATTTTTGCATTTTTTAGAAATATATTTTGTGTTACTGAAAATGACTTAACGCTTATTCATTGATTTATTAATAGTAAATTTATCGGTTTGCGTTGAGCAGAGCAATATTTATCCGTTTTTATTTCTTGCATTGATTGAGTTGTCTTTGAAGATTTACTTTACTTCTTGAAATGGCTTAATGAGATAGTTGCTTGCCTTGAACTACGGGATGATATAATATGACATGCGTCATGCTTGTATACACGGAAAAGAAAATAGTCAAATGAATATGGAAGACGAAGAAAGCTGCTAAGCTACACGAGTTACGGCTGGCACAAATAAAATGAATTTTCTATTTATAATCGATGAAAGCCGTAAGAAGCTTTTGATTGACAGATTAATAAACTAATGATTAGTATTAAAATTAACAATATTTGTAGTGCTTATTTGCCAAGTAAAAAGGAGTGCATTAGTCTCTTTATTAATTTATGCAAGTTTTTTTTTTAAATTTTTTTTTATTATAATTAATGCAAATATTGCAAAAAAAACAGTTCTTTCCGTTAAAATCATGCAATTCAAAAAATAAAAGCGGAATCGAGTTTTCATTGAATTATTAAATGTTCTTTGAAATGCTGCACAACTGTCGTAAAAAAATCAAACTCGAGAAGGGCATTTAGCGTTTAATCGGACACTTACGCGTTAATGATCGGTTCGGAATGATGTAATTAGCGCATTTAATGCACTTTTCCGTTCAAGATGTGAATATCGCGGTATATCGTGAATATATAATAATTCAAGGTTGGTCAAAAAGATTAGTGTGGTTTTTTTGGTAGTTTATAGCACTTAGAGAATGTTTTTATGGCGCTTTAACATCCAATTTTTATGGAAACGTATAATCAATTGCTTAATAACGTTAGGATTTTTCGATACATTTATGTCAAATAATGTCGAATAATTGAATATAGCGTGTGTGAAATAGTAAACATTCTTTATAACGTGTGACGCACATAGAATTGACAAATAACTGCTTTATACAATTTTGCAATAAAATTTAATCGGTGCCTTGTTCGTGCACGATTAATGAACGCCAGTAAACAATTATTCTTGAAGTCATTACTATTTTCTCGCATTGATCATCTTCGGCGCAAATACACAATTGTTATCTTGCTCAACGTAATAACACATATGTAACATAATATCAATTTATTTACCGCAAAACATATTATCATCATTTTTCTTCCGACATATCATTATTGATCATTATTAATTTTTTTTTTTAAAGAAACATAATTATAATATTCCAGCACATTGTTGAAAAGAAGTCCTTGTTGGTAATGCTCTCGATTCAAGGACGTGCGTATCCTCAGGATCGTTATAATGGATTTGGACAAAGACACGGTTACTGAATCTACAGGTTGAAAAAATTTCGCCACGATCTTTATTTGTTGTCATATTGTGTAAAGGGTTGATTAATGAGATTATAATTGCACGGAGATGCGTAGAAAGCAGACATCAACTTTATTCAGAACAAGGGCATCAGTTTATTCATGCATGGGAAAGAATAGATTCCGCTACCCAAAACGCGTAATAGTGCGTCATCGAGATCGATAACCGGCCGTGCTTTGAAAATCCAATTAACATCGGCACAAATTCTGCCAATGTGTGTGTAAAGGCAACATAAATAAAAGAAACTGATCACAACTTAATTTTCGGCGCTGCACGAGTTTGAGACATCATGAGATATTCATTTCTCACATTAGAAATTTAATAATTGTAATTTGTCATTATCGAATCATCTTATTAATTTTTTGTTCTTTACAAGTCTATTAATCGATCCAATTTGTTTTCGCTCCTTTGCGTTGTCGCTTTTCAAACAAATTTCGATAAAAAATTTAAAGATTCATCCTGCTTATTCCGATAAAAATTTCAATTGTTCGTTGATTGTTTAATACGAAAATCAACGTAAAAATTCAGAATAAAAATTAAAAGAATACATTTTGCAGTACGCGATGATAAGAAGAGCCATTGTGTACTCCAATCATCGATCTTTCGCACGCGGGATGTACAATGAACTCGAAATACTGCGAGTCGTCTTCGACGAATTGGAAAAAAAAGAAAAGAAAACACTAAATCAAATCCTTTTGTGTCTGCTTTCCAGGCGTACATCTCCTGCGCCCTGGGTGTCCACAGGGTCGGCTACGTCATGATCTGCTTCGGGGTGGTCAACGCCGGCTGTTCGTTGCTATTCGGCTCGCTAATGAAATTCGTCGGCCGACAGCCGCTGATGGCACTGGGCGCTATCGTTCACGCCTCCCTCGTCGTCGTTCTTCTCATGTGGAAGCCTCACCCCGACAATCCCTACATCTTTTACTCGGTCTCGGGACTGTGGGGCGTTGGCGATGCCGTGTGGCAGACGCAGGTTAACGGTGAGTCAAAATAAAACAAAAAGTCAAATTATTTATATCTGTTTAGTTTACTACAGTTTATCGAATCGGAATTTATAACGGCAAAAGTTAGCGAGTCGCATTAGGCGCACGAGTGTAGGCAGTACCTTGTCGCCTCGAGAACCGGATCCGTGAATTTTAATCGTGAGCCAATCGTGGTCCGTCCGTGATTTACTGGCTACTTCGCGTTTGCTCACAGTCGGCATAGATATTAGTAAATTGGTCGAATACTTGACGGGAATCTTTAATGCATACATAGCTGATAATATTTGTCTAAAGATACTTTGCCTCTCATCAATATTAACGTCGGAAGAATGCTACGCTAGGGTCACTGATCGACCCAGTCAGAAGTAGAAATTAATAGACGGTGGGGTTTTACGCTGAGTTCATAGCACCTATAAAACGATCGGCTCATATTTTGCATTATGCAAGCGTTAATTTATCTACGATTTGGAGTGGATATCTGTAGAAAAAAAATCTACTTTTTTATGAAGTAATGGCATGTCATTGATAAAATGGAAAGTCCAATGATGTAATTTGTAAAAAATCAATCAAGCTGGAAGGAAGGAATAAATTGTGAATTAATGAGCGACTGAACTGCCTCGACAATTAGCGATCGTTACAGCGATAATAATTCTCTTTACGGTTTGTCGCCGCCGTATAATCAATCGAATTAATGAAAATGCTATCCGAAGAAAATATCGGCGAATTAATTAACAGGGAAAACAAAGCGCTTTTATATGATAATTTTGTGACGTATAAAATAATTTAACGCGTGATTAGAGTGAATGTACGTCAGAGTTCTTTTAAATAAAATTTAAATGCCGATATCTTTGTTCTATTCATCGTTCTTAACGACAAGATCGATAGTCACAAAAAATTTACTTACGTGAAGTCGTGCAAATACTCGTGCAGCGTTAGTGAGAGATTACGATTCTGGCCTTCGTTGATAGAATCTTGCTTAAACATTCCGAGATAATCGCAATGTCACAAAAAACTGGTGAATATTAATTTTTGGTTTTTAATCTCGGGGCTTAATTTATACTTAGGAATATAAAATATTTTGTGTTTGCATTCATTTTGCCATTAGCATGTTACGATCAGCAAAGTATTATAAATTGATGTCCGTTTTTATAATCTTCTTATTATTGGAAAAAAATAATTGCCGTTCTCGAGGCGACAAAAAAATATTCAAACGGTATTCATAATTTTGATTTAATTTACAAGCACGATTTGCACGTAATAACGAAATGACACAATCTCGCGTTGCTTGCGTGTAGCATATTCATCTTTACATATAATTAGAGTTTCTGGCATAATTATACGCGGCCAGAAAGCGAGTCTCGAGCGTTCGTTTTTCGCTCGATATATATAGTTCTTGTGAGATTAATCAAATTGCATCCCGTGATTTCGCAAAAAAACCGATATGCAAATCCATCGAGCTACGTGTATATATTGAAACACACAATGTAGACAGCTCCACTTATTTCGTATCCGGCTTTGTCGGATAATTACACGCGTCGCGTGCACCGTGCGAATTTCTAATTTTAGTCCGCTAAATAATTTACAATTATGTATGCGATATCATCGCATAAAAATATGTCTCTGAAAGATTTCTCGGGAGAATCTTCTGCAAAAATCTTTCAGAGACATATTTTTTTGCGATAATATCGCATACATAATTATAAGTTATTTAGCGGACACGAGACATTTTACGCTACAGAAGCAATACGTAATATTTAATTTCAATGCCTTTGATATTTGAAAATCCACTTTTTTGTGCGTGGGAAAATTTTTTAGATAATACATCATTAATTTTAAATTCGTTGTACAATTGCCGCTGAAACGCGCTGGTCGCTGATCGATTTTGCAGGACTGTACGGCACGCTGTTCAGGCGCAACAAGGAGGCGGCCTTCTCGAACTACAGGCTGTGGGGAGAGCGCCGGCTTCGTGATCGCCTACGCGTACAGCACGCACCTCTGCGCCCGTATGAAGCTGTACGTGTTGCTGACGGTGCTGATCACCGGCACCACGGGCTACATCATCGTCGAGCTGCTGCACAGGCGCAAGCAGCGACGGCTCAAAGCGATCGCCGAGGACCCGAAGGCCGCCCAGGCCGAGGCGAATCAGCCCGAGGAGACCGACGACGAGAAGGACGATCTCGACGACGAGATCATTATTACCCACTTGTGAGCAATAGTCGAACATAGTCCTTTCTCGTTAAGAGTCTCCACGCATTTGCGTTCGCGCCGCTCTCTCGTCCTGTCGACGGCGAAATCGAGACGACGGTCGGAAGATTTGGTCGATTGATTGCGCGGGTGTCTTTCCTCCCGTTATAACCGACGAATCCTTCCGTCTATTGTCCTTTCGCATTTGTCATTCCCTCGATCCTCCCGATAGACCCGCGTTGAGATCGGTGTGCGACCGCGATGCTCTTCTCCGTCGACGATACGGATGAGAAAAGCGTGCGCATTTAGGCGGCGAACCGATATCGTCCTCGGGATAACGCGCACGCGCGCGCGCAGGAAGCAGATTTGTGCTCGCGTCGCGGGGGGTCAGAATTAGGGACCATGTGCGCACCATTTACAATGAAGTAGAAATGTCGACTTCATCCCGCGATCGAGACACCCTCGAAGGAGACGCCAGGCTGCACAATCTGGCTTCCATCCTCCTCGGCGAGATCAGAACGAGTCAATGATCAATAAGTAATACATTTATCAGTACTTGTGATGCTAAGGAACACATAATGGACGTAGAAATCGCTCTTGTGCAACTAGGAATATAGGATTCCCGCCATCGTTTACGTTAAGCTATCGAAATTAGCAACAACGAGAAAAATTGTTCCGACGACGGCGTTTTCAATTCCCGCCATAGCGATTAGTAACAGAGCGATCAGCGGAAGTAGCGTGCGATATCGCGCGAAGACGATAAGCGCGTTTTGTTGTGTGCAATTCGTGTGTGCGTTTGTACGGCACGCGTGGAGAACAGTTTGGTAATCGAGCACAGAGTGCTCAGTTTGTATCATATTTATTACATACAGGACTGTCTCGTGACGAACCGAAAACGGCGATTGTTATTCGTTATTGTGAATCTTTTGAGAAGAATAATTAAAGACAAAAACAGAATTGTTTTATTTTTCAAATCTCAAAGATAATCCTAAAAATTCTATTCTTATTCAAATTAAGAATAAATATTCCGTCGTGTAAAAAACAATCAAACAATCGTCGTACGTCGGGAAACGGCAACACAATCAAAGAATGCCGTATCAATCACGTTGACAGTCAAAATCCTTCACATTTTTCTTGCGAGAGAAGCACGCGAGACGTCAGTGTGGATCTTATATTAAAACAGTATTTTCCTTCTCGGAAAAATAGATGGATCGAAAGGAATAAAGAGATTTATTCTGCGAAGTTTAATTTTTTTTAATTTTAACTTATAAATATTGTTCTCTAATTGTGTTTTATTTTCTCTTTCTATTTAAGAATGTTATTTTAATTAAATAAAAAATTGTTATTTTTCGCAGACATTAAAGTGAATCTTCTTTTTAGAAGAAAGAAGATTATTTTATGGAACAAAACTCTGTCGATTTCTGTCTTTCGATTTATTTCCCGCAGGAATTTTATCGCGTGACACTTTTTTGTTCGTTCTTAAATCAGGCGTAAGAAAAAGGCGCGAGGAACATATCACGTTATTATAAACCACTTGGATGCGATTGTCCTATCGTACGGTAGCTCAAGAGTCTACAAAGGGAAACGTAAGCTTAGGATTTGGATGCAATCCTAGCGAGATGCTATTCTTGCAAGTCGTCGTGTCGATAGAATGTTGATCATCTCTCTGATTAAAATCGCAAAACTATAAAATATGAATATTTAATGCGTTATGTGGGCATGCGAAACAAAGAATGATTACGAGGCTTCTATATTTTGTCGCACGATTACCCGCGAAAAGATAGCCGGTACGTGAGAATATTAAAAACTCGCCATATCTATCGCATTGACAGTTCACGAGACTGTAATTATTTTCTGGAAATTCTGCTGAGTTTTCTGATGCGTAGAAATAAAAAAATATTTTCCGCAACTGAAAAAATATTTTAGAATCTGAATTCAGAGCGTAACGTTACACGATCGACGTCGTAATGTTATCAACTTCTTCAAATTTTGCGAAGCTCATAAAACGCTGCGAAAATTGAGACTATTTTCTTAGTGTAGAATTGTCGTAAAACCAAATATTTCAGCCTGTTCCACATTCAGTAATTATCGCGCAGTCCATGGATTAATTGCATGCGCACTCTTATCCGGCTTTTACGCGCTTCCGTCGTGCATTTTGCACGTGTTCTCGGAGCAATGCGATAAACCAGTGCGCGACTCCAATCACGTTGCGTCCGCGCGACCACTTTTTCTCCACGGCGGCGCGGCGACCAGAACGGGACAGGCAAGAAAGCCGGAGACAGGAAACTCGCGAGATTCTTGTCCTACGAGCGGGATATATTCAGCCCTGAGAGTACCGGCCGCCTTTATTTATAACACTCGCGGTGTTAATCCGTCCATCCGACACCGCGCCGTACTCGCTTCGCATCGCATCCGCGTGTCTTGTTTCCTTTTTATTATTTGCCCGCGTTCGTCTCGTTCGTTTTTCCGTTTTTTTCTTGTCGGTGAGAACTCGTCCTGTCGGCGCGGCGCGATACCTCGCACGATCGGCGCCGCCGCCACCGTGAAGAAAACAGCGTAATGACGGCGTTGAGAAGCCGCGAACGGAACGCGCCATGTAACGTTTTGTTCGCTTTTGCCCGCCAAGTTTTACGCACGTCGTCGATCCTTTCCCTTCTTTCATTCGTCTCCTTGCTCTCTTTTTCTCTCGTCTCTTCAATGCCGCGAAAAGTATTACGCTTCTCGGTGGAGCCGCGCTGTATTCTTCTTATCCGTCGCGGCGAATTCCTCGCGTCGCCTCCGCTGAAATCCTGAAAGCGGAATGAATGTAAATTACTTGCGCTATTAAACACGGTATTAATCGCGCTAATAAAGTGACGACCGGTCTCGCGCTAATAGTTTCTTCGCGTATTTCACTCGACGATGCACGTATGAACTGTGCTTGAAGGGGAATGAAACGATAAAAAATCGAGGCACCGTAAACTGTTTTTATTGATCGCATTTTAATTGAAACCCGACGATGACTGTTTGCGTAAAAACGGCGTAAACATTTATTATGCATGTTTTATTTAAAAATATACAACGGACTCTGAGAGAGAAAAATGTTCTTAAAATAACTTCAAAGCAATGTCGGAGAGTTGATACGTTCTATCGCACACGATACACACATTATATCTATGCCTTATTATATACAGAACGTCTGGTTTCGTAATCGCATCGAGAATGAATGGGCGCGTTCAGCAGAACAAATCGCTTGGTAGCAATCGAACATGATTGGCTCTTACTTTTAGAACCAACAAATCAACAGTCGAGATTCAACGGAAAGTCTACAACTGTTGAGTCTGCTGAACGCAGTCAATTTTCCTGTATCGCTGTGTTTGCTCCATCCTATTCCCTCTTTGTTGTATCGTGAACATTATAGATTTAAGTAGCTTATGTGATACAGCAGTGGCGGATGAATGAGATTAGCAGTGGAAAAAACCGTCCAACAAAAGTATATTGATAGCACACATAACTAATTGCTTCCTAGCGATTAGAAGAATTGCCTTGAAGCCCGCTGCGGTCCGATTCGCCCGCGACTGCTGTATGTATTAATATTGCAATTAAGTAACTTTACAGCACGAGACACGTGAGCGAATGATGGGGAAATTTAAGCATCGAGAATTCGCGATGAGAAGGGCAGCGAGCGTGCCCGGGACAACTGTACAGTTCTCGAAGGAGCACCGATTTGTTGAACTTTAAAAGGGACTCACACGAATCACAATTTGCACGTTGAATGCTTCAAGAAAAAGACATGGTTTTAACGGGGACCACGCTCTAACATACATTAAACCTGTGCGAGATTAGACTTCCTAGATGTTACTGAAGGATATTTAGATATATAAATATACATATACCTAATTGTTTACGAAACGATAGATATATATATACAAAAGATTTCATCATTCGGGCCAGCAACACTGGGACCATTCTGGTTTACGTTGTTTCCGCTCTTATTGAGATTTGTAAATATTCAACTACAACTAGTATTAGTCGCTAGGCATAATTGCGTAAAACGGAAAGGAGCAACTGGACGTTGCTTTACATATCGAGCAAAGTCTTTTCAACGTTGTTTTCTGTTATTTTTATTTAACTGCGTTCATGCGCGCCAGAAAGGTAAACAAATACTATTTCTTTTTCTTCTTAAGATTATTAGATTATTTTGTTCTCTTCTTTTATTCTTGTTCTATACTCGTCCTCTTGTGTTTCTCCGAAGCACTATACTTATTACGTTTTAAGTACGAAGAGTGTATGGAAGAGTGTCATACATTTATATTCGCTACTCTTCCGACACGCATGAACGCGGTTGTTATACATATATCCTTAAATAAGCTAAGGGAATCCAGTGTATTTACTAAATTTGTTGTTTTATCTTACGAAGATGAAAGAGAGATCACGGCACGCCGATCGTTGTTTTTTGACACGTCCGGCAAATTGTACAGTATATATTATTATATGTTCACTACTTATTATACTATCGCGTTTTGATTGTTATCGTACATTATGATGACACGCTGATCATAGTTACAATCATTGTTATATCGTCAGATATTGCTGCTATATAGTTAATAATATATTATATATATATATATATATATATATATATACATATGACCGACACGTAATGTTACATAACAGTAAGGAGCATTTTATTAAAATTGTCGATAAGATACAATTGATGTGTGAACTTTTTATTTCCCCAACTACCTTTCAATTTAATTAATATAATGTGTTTTTGCTCGCGCAAGTATTGATTTTCCAGAAAGATACTTCTTAAGTCAATTAAATTCTTAAGTTAATTAATCTCAAGAATTCTCATTATACTTACATACGAAAATTCATATATGTGTCGAATAATGTTCTATAGCATACAATGAGTTAAAAATTTAACTTGTAATATTTATTTACTGGTCTTTATTATAATCTTTACTAAATAAATATACAATAGCGTAATTGTAGACATAAAAATATTTTTTTAAATTCAAATATTTCCGTAAAAAAGAAAACATACGATATAATTAGACCAAAAAAAAAAGAAAGAAAGGACAATAAGATGAATGTTTCATACGATGGCTGATGATTAAAAACACTTTGCAAACGCAATACAACTAATTTATTTTAATAGTCAGTTTAATATGTACATGGTTCTACTTATATAAGCAAGTTTATCACACAGTAGTAATTTATTCGCATACACGTTAGGCGTTATAAGAACATTATAAATTTTACACAGCTACTGTATAGAATATAAAAATATTTTATATTTATATATCCCAGTTATATACAACTGTGATTCTGATTATTTATAAAAAAAAGACCCATATAAAATCATCACAATTATTGGAATATAAGATGTAATATATCTATAATTCTACATGTAAATATCTTGTCCATAGATACTATTGTTATTTATTAAGCTAAATATTATTTATACAGATAAGTAGATGTGTGGCAAAGCATAAAAAATAAAATAAGTATATTTATGCAATTTATAATAAACATAGAATATATCAGGAGACGCGGTAGTGTCTCTGGCCAAGTTCAAAAAACGACACTACTAAGTCAGAAAAAGAGTCTCTGGCAAAGTTCAGAAAATGACACTACTAAGTCTCTTATTCTGCGCGCACAAAGTCGACTTTTCGGAAGTTTGTAGCAACTAAAATATAAAAAATTTTATAAAAACACATAGTATATCCTTAAAGGCGGCATCGCCACGACTAATTTGAGCCAAAAAAATTTAAATTGGTCCAGCTGTTCCGGAGATACAAGCGGTCAAAAAGTGATGATGGTAATGCAAAAATTAAGAAACGTCGTCTCCTTATTCTTCTCCTCTGTCCGCAGGGATGAAGAATTTACATGATAACATAAAAGTTTCATAATACTTTAAGGTGTAAAGAGGGTTGGTGGGGCGGAGGGGCCCCTCGACGGGGGTGAAGGGGGATGTTGCGAAGGGTTGCGCTGAGGAGGGAGGCGATTAAAGGGGAGGGGCAAAACCCGTTAGCAGCGCCAAGTTTTTGTATTTTTAATAAATATTTTGTTATTTTAATTAAATTTTTTTAAATCAAATTTTGATCAGTTTTATTTATAGATTTTATGTATATTTTATGTATGTTTATTTTAAATTTGTCACCTTGAATAATATATCAGTTACTTTTCATGTTGGTGATATATTAAAAATTTAGATAATTATCAAAATATAAACATATTGGAGTGTCTTTTTTGGAACTTGGCCAGACCTTATCATTTATGAATTTTTAATACATATATTAACATATATTAAAAACAGATGAATTTATGGAACAAACGTATCACAGAGATGATGTTCGCGAAAAAAATGATTTATACAAAGCGACTTTTTGCACCATGCGCAAGTAATTATTGCAGGTGCGCCAAATATCGCATGTTGGTTTTGTCTGTTTATGGTAACAAAATTTCACTGGTGTTTCGAATTCTTCGGGCTTATTTATTACGTACCCGCTTTTATGCGTATTTCAATAAATTTTTGAATCTTGACAATGAAAATTGATTATGGGTCAATAACTGTAATTTTAAGATGGTGTTTCTTGCATGCAGATTGACTTCCAGATCTAAAAGCATTACAGTATCAGAAAAGTGTCTGATGAAATTCTTCCACAAACGAAAACCATATTCATCCAATGGTATTTTTCCTGTTGTTCCAGCTGGTATAGTCAACAAAATGTTATCTTCTGTAGATTCTGGTTTAAATTCTTGAATAATATTTGGACAATGACCAGTCCACGAATGTAATAGTAAAACAGATTTTGGACCTACGTTTGGAAAAAATACGTCTCGCAACCAAATTTTAAAATAATGCGCTGTTAATTTCCCGGATTTCGAAGCCGTAACAAAAATATTAGGTGCCTTAAACATTGTTTCTTGCACTCTGGGACCAAATGTTCCATTAACTTCTGTCAATACGATAAAAAGAGGCGATAATGATCTACCATCGGCTGAAACAGTAGGCTGTATAGTATAGCTATGCATAGTTGCCGATACGGATTGCACTGCAGATTCAATCTTTTTTGTTCCTTTATATGCCAATGTACGACCGGCATGAAGTTCTAATTGGAATCCACTTTGATCACTGTTGTAAATATTTTCAACTTCATATTCTATTATTTGATATTTAAAGTTTTCAATAAATGTGTTACATTTTTCTTCAAAATCGACGTTAGACATTATAGATGTTTTTCTTATAAATTTTGTTATTTTACGAGATACAATATTATGTATTATTTTAAATTTTTGTATCCATCGCGATGAAGCTTTGAATCCTGGTGAATTAAAATTTTCCTGTACCCGAACAGTTCATCGAGCTAAATCAGCGTCGTGAATAATAATTCTATTTTCAAGAGCTGTATGAAAATTATTTAATGTATATTCCAAAATTTGTTTTAATTTTTCGAATCTACTGCCACCTTGATTCATTTGAATTTCCCATCGTCGTAATTGACGTAATGAATATACTTTCCGAAATCTTTGTTTTACTCCTTCTAATGTTCTTGGTCTTGTTGTACTGTTTTTCCAAAATTCGACTGCTATTTTTTTTATATTCATGCGGAATACGTTCATCTGTAATACATATAACTTTAGGATTTACGTCCAATACCTCACCTTCTTCCTCTTCATCTCCTAGTTCGATTTGCTCTGCTGTTGGAATATCGTTATCGTTTTCATAATCTAAAGATTCTTCTACTTCCATTTATCTCTCATCGCGCATTTCTTTCAGCATAGATTCTATTTTACGTGCTATTTCTCGTTCTTCAGATGTTATTGGACTTGTTTATAGATTTAGAGCCGAAAAAGTTACGTATAATAACATTATTACGTTAAATGGATTTAATTGAACCATTCTGAAAATTATAACAATTAAATATTTCTCCCTCCTTTTTCCATCATCTTGGGTATCCACACAACTTTGTGCTGATAATTCTTTGGGCACATTATCTTCTCAACCATTTGACTAAGTTGACATATTTATTCCTTTTGATTTTGACACTTCGGTTTTAAGTTATAACGAAATAATTTTATCATGAGTGGAAACCAAATCATGGGGCAACATCTATCTCTGGCTCTTTCATTATAAGTATGTACCAGTTTCTGTATTATCATGTTACATTAAAAAAATACCAAAATGTTAATTTACACGGGCAATAAATGTTACAGTTCCAATTGTATATCTTCTCACATTGGATTTAAATTATTAAGAAGAACTCACTGCGTATTTTATAGTTTCTATTTATTTATTTTTTCAATGTTTCGACTATCAAGACAATGTTTTATTATGTATTTTTTGTAATGTTACTGAGGAAGGCCTAACATAGGCAGAAACGTTTGATTGTAATTGTAATTTGTATTCATAATATAATTTAAATTTATGCACGAACACCTTGCAACGGCTCTTTTATTCTTGATTATTGTTAAATATTTCTCCTTGTTTGTGTACAAAAAAATAATATCTACTTACTTTATAATGAATTTGCTGTTCTTTTTTTGATGCTGTTTTATATATTGTTTTTCCGTAATCACTAACAAGCGCACAACTTTAAAGCGTAATATGCACTGACGGAATATGACAACGCGTTGCGCTATAAATGCGCTCAAAATGCGACTATAAAAGTGTAAAATAGAGAAAATGCCTTGACAACAACTTTAGTAAACTTTGTTCTTTGATCAGAACATTTTTCTGTATACTTCATAAATCTTTATTTTTTATTTTATTTGTTTTATCGATTACAAGCGCGGCACAAACGATGCGTTATGCAGCGCGACGCATATAGTGCAACATTGACAGCTCATTCTGAAAGATGCAATTTCGAAACATAATAAAATTATATATGGTTGTATTCAGCGTAAACAATGCTACAACTTTTTTCACAATAAAAATTTAAAAATTCGTAAAAATAATAAGAAAGAGTGGAAGTAAATTAAAAAATATAAAATTTTTTAAAAATCGAGCTACGCGGTTATAAAGCTCATAAAAGACCATGCAACTTTTATTCAAAACATTTTTTTATATCTCTTACAGTTTTGACGATATTCAGTTAAAACCAAAAAACGTTTTAGCTTGTAGGGGTTGTTTCAACCTTAAACGTGCGAAAAAGCAGATAAAAAAATACGTGTCTCTTATTCTGAGCTACTTTACAACATATTTGAAGCTCGTCAAAATCGGAGGGGAACACTTGGGTCTGTTTCTTTGTTAGCAAAAATTGAATAAATTTTTAATTATTGAATATATTTAATATTATTTTCGGTTATAACGATTTGATCAGAAATGATATTATATCAGAAGATTTAGAAAAATGCAGAATAAATTCATAAAAAAAATATTGCAATAAATAATACTTGGAAATCTTTTTTTAAATTAAATAAATTAACCACATCATATTTCTTTTCAAATGCCATTTTATTAATAAGGAATTAATTTCTATCATAATTAGTCTTTAAAATGTCTCGAAGACATGCATGCTGTATGGTTATATTATTTAACACAATTTTCGAACAAATACAACTAGAAGAATTAAAAATTGACATATTTTACTGACCATTAATGTATTACTTTTCGGCGATCTCTACAGAAGTTATTATAATACATTTAAGAATAAAATATGAAAATTGCGTGATCAACCAATTTTATATAAAAATAATATAGAAATAAAGTATTTATAAATAATCTTAAATAAATCGTCGATAGTTTGGTCACAAAATAGTCGATAATTAATTCATAAAATCGTCTTACTTTATAAACCTAGAAGCATAATTTATAAATTGAAAACATAGTACACAAACAAAACTTATTAGCGCATTTATTAAATTTCAAGAATGTAGCTTTGTATTATCAATGTGACACATTGATTTATAAACATATTTATAATTTATAAACGTAAAACGAATTATACGTCAGGAATAAATGTACGTAAAAAGACAAACCACTTTTCTCGTGTAGGTTCTTCAAATCATTTGAATCGTCAAAATTAAAATTGTTAACGTTGGTTGTGATGCTACTTGAGTGTCGTTATCATCATTCGGTTGTCAAAATCTGGATAAACCAATGTAAATATTTTAATATTTATTAAAAACAAATTGTCTAGTTATTGCTCATCACATTACACATTTATTAAATTAAATGCAAGTCGAAACAGTAAAAAATTAATTATACATCAAAGTATTAACAGCAATATCAATAAAACATATTGTCACCTGTTCCTTTTCTTCAGTTTGGTTGGCTTCCTGATGGTCCAGCTGCGTCATGCGTTCTCTGTGTAGTTGTCAAGCTGTTCAAATGTGTAGCTACAATGTGACGATGAAACTTCCATAACGGAATGTTAAGTGATATTCTACTGTTGGGACAAACATTACATTGCACCTCAAAATCACTAATTTGTGTACAGTATTTCCATACCCAGCTCTCGTATAATGATGGGTTAAGAAAGTACTCGAAAGGATGCTCGTCCAAGTGCTTTTTTAAAGATTTATCATTAAACTCAAAAACATTATTACAGCGATTATTACATTTTAAGAAATATGAAGTCAAATAAGTGAAATGCATTTATGGAAACGTGTGTCCGTGTGCTTCTTCGTAATTGTATATATCTATATGCTTTTCTTTTACGTGTTTATTAAAGTTTGTTGTATCTATATAACAAGATTCAAAGCCGCAAGTTCTTTCGCCGCAAGCAACTCGGCACGGTGCTTTAAAATCTTTTAATGTGTAATTATTGTGCTTCAGTTTACCGTGGCTTTTTTAGAAATAATTGATTGCAATTCTTCCGGATGACGTCCCATTGTATGAATAGACATTACACAATTAAAATTAATGATTATCTTTTTGCAACAAATAGTATACTTGACCTCATCAGTGTCATCACATTGTTTAAAATATTTCATTGTCCAATAATCATCTATGAAATTACGTTCTTCTTCCACAGAATGCTTCTCTGAGATATGAGTTTTTATGGATTCAGAAACTGTCAGAAATTTACCACACATGAGACATTCTGAGTGTGGTATCTCTTTATCGAAAATATATTCACACGAATACTTAAAATATCTACATGGTTTTTGATTTTCGTGTTTATTTTTTCATTTTAATATAGCTGTATGGCTTTGGTCTATGCGACCATACAATACATTAGAAATATACTTACATTCATAGCGACAGTATTTGCATTTTGCTCGCAAAAAGGCAGTTTATTATAATATACTCATATGTTTTCCTTAATTTCTATAATTTTTGAATTATTAATAGATTCTGACGAAAGAATTATGTCACATTTTTCTCGCACATTTTTTAATTTTTCCTTATGTGTAGTTACTACATGGTTGTTTAAACTATTATTTAGATAAATACTTAATTCTTTGGAACAATCAATACATCTTATTTTAAAATCAATTCCCGTACAATATTTCCATATCCAATCGTAAGGTACGTAATTCTTCACTTCGTTAACATGCTTCTCGTGTAAATGTAATGCTAAAGATTTAAAAGCAGATTGACAATTCTCACGACAGAAAAGACATTGTGAAGTAGAAGTACCGTTGTACTTGAAACATATCCATGGCCATTTTTGTCGTTCTTTATGTGTTTTTTTGTATTTTTTTATATAGGGATGCTTTGTTTTTATATGTTCAAAGAAAGTTGAATAGTTGTAAGTATATTTCTGTCTACGAAACCTACATTTTGCTTTGTGATCCGAGACTTTTTCGTAATATTGCTACACGTTTCCTTTGGTTATAATAATTTCTGCCATTGTGTCCGTTTTTCCTTACAGAACGCAGATAACTGAATACGGCACAAGAGGACAAAAAAGCACGTATAGTTTTACATATGAATGTAAATATTGGTACGGCAGTCAAAACTATGAAGTCTAAGTCATAAAGAGGCGCTGTAACATCAAACCCAATTGATATAGCAGTTACTATTTGTTACTATTTGTCTATTATCGCGAAAAAGACGTTACAACATATCATTTATACGAATGATGTTTAAGAAATAATGCAGAACTAAATTTTTACATCTCAAATAAAACTATTTTCGAATAATAATTTTATGAAAGAAATACGCATAATTTATCCAACTTATTGATACTGTTATAATTACAATTAATACATTAATTGGAAGAACATAAATATGCATAGTTTTCTACTATGTAATGTATATATATCTACATTCAAAATGTATATATGCGTGTAAAAAGTTAAAAGTTTATTGTTCGTGTTTTATTGATAATATTTCTTTCTTTCTCATTACCTAGAGTTTTGTAATAAAAAACAAAGTAACATAAAGACAAAAATTTAAAATAATTAAAAATAACTATTTGTAAAAAAATTATATTTAATAATTATATTAAATTAAAAACATCTAGATAAAAACGCAATAAGGTGGTAAGCTAATTAATTGTCAATTTATTAATCTGTAACGTTATATTATATTGGATTGTAATGAGTAATTTTGAATTTTTTAACAAATAATGTTATTATTCGTCACGTATTTATCTGGATGAAAGGTAATGGTACGAGTACAGTTGATTATAACTTTGACAAATTAATTGACAAATAAATATTTAATTTTCGTGTTAGTGCAAATGCGTTTTACCTGATATAAACTTGGCAAATTTATTTGAAAAATGCAACATTACTTATTGCACAACCCAATATTATTCCCATTTCAGATGTGCAAGTAATATTCATAAAACAGACGTATACTAAATTATAATTTAATTTTTTCTCCGAAAAAGGTAATTATATTGTATTAAATAATTTCATATCAGATTATATTCCAGAGATTGAGATTATAAACTGAATAAAAATTCGATTAATTAAATAATCTCAGTCTTATTGTTATCTTACTTTGACTCGAAAATTCAAATTATAATCGATTTGTTATTTTTAGTTTCCAATAGTTGTTTGGCTTGAGAAAATTTTTTAGAAAAAAAATCTTGAATGAAACACTTCCAGAAAAAATAAAAATCAAGAAAGTTTTAATTTTTATGTAATCTAACTTTTCAGAAATTGTGTTATACAATATATTAAAGTAAATATCAATTTACGGTATTATCATACATATAATACAAAAAGAAAAGAAATAGCACGATTGTCTTTGCTTGTCAAGCAGTCTTTTACCAGGGAAAGTTTATCGCAAGTTGCACGTTATATACATATGTAGTTTAATAATGTTCATAGATTAATTTGTAATCTCTAACTCATTGCTAATATTAAAATTTAAATGCAGCATATGATAATTCATACTTATTATACAAGATGTCCAGATATCACTATTAAAAAGAAGAATAGAAAATTTATATAAGAAATAATGATAGTGCTATCTTTATGTCTTCTTCAATCAAAGTTATAATTGCATCGCGATATATAACTTGTTTCTTACTGTACCTTATTATGAATTAAAAATTATTTGGCCTTAACAACTTTATTCTTCATAATTCTACATTATGCTCAGTGTGTTTAACTCTTAATTAAACTTAATTAGAAATGAGTGATAAAAAAAACACGTTGTTATAATTTTTGTAGTTTGCTCATTTTCTTAGCAACAATTGAATAAGCTTTTAATTATCAAATATATTTAATATTATTTTTGGTTATAATTAGATCAGAAGGTTTTGAAAAAGTGCAGAACAAATTTATCAAAAAAATATTACAATAAATAATACTTGGAAATTATTTTTTAATTAAATAAATAAACCATATGATATTTGTTTTTAAATGCCATTTTATTAATAAGAAATTAATTTCTATCATAATTAATCTTTAAAATGTCTCGAAAAAATACATGTTGTATAATTATATTTTTTATTGATTATATTATTTAACACAATTCTCAAACAAATACAACTGGAAGAATTAAGAATTGATTTATTTTACTGACTATTAATGTATTACTTTTCGGCGACCTTCACAGAAGTTATTATAATACAGTTACGAATAAAATATAAAAAATGCATGATCAACCAAGTTTATATAAAAATTTATATAAATTTATATAAAAATGATATAAAACTAAAATATTTATAAATGCTCTTAAATAAATCGTCGATAGTTTTATGGTTACAGTAAAGTCGATGATTAATTCATAAAATCGTCTTACTTTATAAACTTATAAGCATAGTTTATAAATTAAAAACATAGTACATAAACAAGATGCGCAATTATTAGCGCATTTAAAAAAAATTTCAAAAATGTATCTTTGTATTATCAATGTGACACATTGATTTATAAATATATTTATAATTTATAAACGTAAAACGAATTATACGTCAGGAATGATTATACGTAAAATGACATGCCATTTTTCTCATGTAGGTTCTCCAAATCATTTGAATCGTTAAAATTAAAATTGTCGTTAACGTTGGTTGTGATGCTACTTGAACGTTATGCTACTGAGTCGTTATCATCATTCGGTTGTCAAACTCTGGATAAACCTATGTAAATATTTTAATATTTATTAAAAACAAATTATCTAGTTATTGCTCATCTCATTACACATTTATTAAATTAAATGCGATTTGAAAAAGTAAGAAATTAATACATAAAAATATCAACAACAATATCAATAAAACATATTGTCACCTGTTTTCTTCAGTTTGGTTGGCTTTCTGATGGTCCAGCTGCGTCATGCGTTCTCTGTGTAGTTGTCATGCTGTTCGGATGTGTAGCTACAATGTGACAATCACAATTCCATAACAGAATGTCAAGTAATATTCTACTTTCGGGACAAATATTACATTGCACCTCGAAATCACTACTTTGTGTACAGTATTTCCATTCCCAGCTCTCGTATAATGATGGGTTACAAAAGTACTCGGAAGAATGGTCGTCCAAATGCTTTCTTAAAAATTCATAATTAAACGTATCATTAAACTCATCATTAAACTTAATAACTTTATTACAGCGACATTTTAAGGAATATGAATCCAAATACATAAAATGCATCCATGGATACGAGTGTCCGTGTTCTTTTTCGTAATTGTATATGTTTATATGCTTTTCATTTACGTGTTTATTAAAGTTTGTTGTATCGATATAACAACATTTAATGCCGCAAGTTCGGCACATTGCTTTAAAATCTTTTAATGTGTAATTATTGTCCCTCAGTTTATCCGTGGCTTTTTTGGAAATAATTGATTGCAATTCTTCCGGATGACATGTCATTGTATGACTAGACACTTCAGGCTTAATATTAATGGTTATTATTTTGCAACAAATAGTACACTTGACTTCATCAGTGTCATCACATTGTTTAAAATATTTCATTATCCAATGATCATCTATGATATTACGTTTTTCTTCCACAGAATGCTTCTTTGAGATATGTGTTGCTATACATTCAGAAACAGTCAGAAATTCACCACACATGAGACATTCTGAGTGTGGTATTTCTTTATCGAAAATATATTCACACCAATACTTCAAATATCTACATGATATTTGATTTCCGTTTTCCCATTTATATGCTTCATGGTTGTTTAATATGTGAGAAAACAAGGCATCATCATTAATATAATCACATTCATAGGCGCAGTTTTCCCATTTGCATTTTGCTCGAAAAAAAGGCAGTTTATTATAATGTACCCACATGTTTTCATTAACTTCTATAATTTTTGAATTTATAACTGATTGTGACAAAAGAACTATGTCACGTCTTTCTCGCGCATTTCTTAATTCTTCTGAATGTCTAGTTACTATATGTTGCTTTAATGTCATATTTAAATAAACACTGAATTCTTTGGAACAATCAATGCATCTTATTTTAAAATCAGTTCTTGTACAATACTTCCATGTCCAATCGTAAAGTACGTAATTCTTCACTTTGTTAACATGTTTTTGGTGTAAATGAGATTTTAAAGATTTAAAATCGGATTGAATATTCTCACCACAGAAAAGACATTGTGAAGTAGAAGTATCGTTGTATTTGAAACATATCCATGGCCATTCTTGTCGTCTCTTATGTTCGTATTTTCTATATAAGGATGCTTTTTTCTTATATGTCCACGGATATTTGTCTGGGGGTAAGTATATTTCTGTCTACAAAACCTGCATTTTGCTTTGTAATCCGAGACTTTTTCGTAATATTGCCACACGTTTTTTTTTGTTATAACAATTTCTGCCATTGTGTCCGTTTTTCCTTACAGAACGCAGATAACTGAATACGGTACTCGAGGACGAAGAAGTACGTATAGTTTTACGTTTGAATGTAAATATTGATACGGAAGTCAAGACTATGAAGTTCAAGTCATGAAGAGGCGCTGTAACATCAAGTCCAGTTGGTATAGCAATTCCTATTTGTTACTATTTGTCTACTATCACGAAAAAGACGTTACAACATATCATTTATATGAATAGTTTTTAAGAAATAATGCAGAACTAATTTTTTACATCTCAAATAAAACTATTTTCGAATAATAATTTTATGAAAGAAATACGCATAATTTATCCAACTTATTGATACTGTTATAATTACAATTAATACATTAATTGGAAGAACATAAATATGCATAGTTTTCTACTATGTAATGTATATATATCTACATTCGTAATGTATATATGCGTGTAAAAAGTTAAAAGTTTATTGTTCGTGTTTTATTGATAATATTTCTTTCTTTCTCGTTACCTAGAGTTTTGTAATAAAAAACAAAGTCACATAAAAACAAAAATTTTAAATAATTAAAAATAACTATTTGTAAAGAAATTGTATTCAATAATTATTGTAAATTAAAAACATCTAGATAAAAACGCAATAAGCTCGTAACCTAATTAATTGTAAACTTATTAATCTGTAACGTTATATTACATTGGATTGTAATAAGCAATTTTGAATTTTTTAATAAATAATGTTATTATTCTTTACGTATTTATCTGGATAAAAAATAATAACACAAAAATTCATAAATGATAAGATCAGGCCAAGTTCCAAAAAAGACACTCCAATATGTTTATATTTTAATAATAATCTAAATTTTTAATATATTACCAACATGAAAAGTAACTGATATATTGTTCAAGGTGCAAATTCAAAATAAACATACATAAAATATACATAAAATGTATAAATAAAACGGATCAAAATTTGATTCTAGAAAGTAAGTGATATGTTATTCTTAGTGCACATACAAAATTTAAAAAATTTAATTAAAATAACAAAATATTTATTAAAAATACAAAAACACTTGGCGCTGCCAACGGGCTTCACCCATCCCCTTCTAGCTCCTCCCCCCCCCTAGCGCAACCCCTTCACGCCATTTCTTCCTTTTCCCCCACCCCAGTCAAGAGGCTCCACCACCCTTCCATCCCTTTACATCTTTACACCTATAGTATTATGAAACAACGAAAATGAGTAATAATGTAATAATAGCATGATTAATTGACATCATGTAATTAATTGACATTATGTAAGTTAACATGTTGTTCGGTGTGGGGTGATCCATCAATTTAATTGATATAATGTGTTTTTGCTCGCGCAAGTATTGATTTTCCAGAAAGATACTTCTTAAATCAATTAAATTCTTAAGTTAATTAATCTCAAGAATTTTCATTATACTTACATACAAAAATTCATATAAGTGTCGAATAATGTTCTATAGCATACAATGAGTTAAAAATTTAACTTGTAATATTTATTTACTGGTCTTTATTATAATCTTTACTAAATAAATATACAATAGCGTAATTGTAGACATAAAAATATTTTTTTAAATTCAAATATTTCCGTAAAAAAGCAGAAAACATACGATATAATTAGACCAAAAAAAAAGAAAGAAGATAAAGGACAATAAGATGAATGTTTCATACGATGACTGATGATTAAAAACACTTTGCAAACGCGATACAACTAATTTATTTTAATAGTCAGTTTAATATGTACATGGTTCTACTTATAAGCAAGTTTATCACACAGTAGTAATTTATTCGCATACACGTTAGGCGTTATAAGAACATTATAAATTTTACACAGCTACTGTATAGAATATAAAAATATTTTATATTTATATATCCCAGTTACATACAACTGTGATTCTGATTATTTATAAAAAAAAGACCCATATAAAATCATCACAATTATTGGAATATAAGATGTAATATATCTATAATTCTACATGTAAATATCTTGTCCATAGATACTGTAGATATTGATATTTATTAAGCTAAATATTATTTATACAGATAAGTAGATGTGTGGCAAAGCATAAAAAATAAAATAAGTATATTTATGCAATTTATAATAAACATAGAATATATATATATATACACTTATTTCGTGAACCATCTGTATAAATAAATAGTAATTTAGACAACTGACAATATAGAATTTCAGATAATACTAGATCTTATTACAAAAGAACTTTTTAAAATTAATATACATATAATAAAGTGTACTGCCTATATAACAATATTCATATAAAATAGTCGGGTAATTATAATACTGTATAATATACAAAATGCTATTATTTAAATTACATTTTGCTGCCAAAAAATAATTTGCATATAACCTAATATGATTAGATATATAATAAGTACTGTGATTACGTTGAATATATGTATAAAAAAAATATTAATAGCCTCTAGTATAGTTTAGTATCACTTAACAGTTACGAGCGTTGTAACTACGTTGCATTGATTATTTTTCTACTTTCGATATTGATATAAATATTTTATTATTAGACATTAGATATTGATATTACGTATCAATATACTTGCTGTTGAAAAGTAACTTTCGAAAAAATTTCGTGATATAGGCAACAGTCATTGTGCATACTGGCATCTAAATGGCAAATGAATTGGTGATCAAATTCATCAATAAAAATCGTTAAACCTAATGTTTTAATCTACATATTAGCGCACACTTTTTATACATATATTATATGTATATTTCTTCCTACATAAACTTGAAAATTATAAAATTTATAATGTTGTTTATCCAAACTATAAGTACTTGTTCTTTTTTTTATGTTGGAAGACTTGGTGCAAACTAGGATACTTTGGATTATTACTATTCATCGTAAAGTGATATGTCACTTTCATACAATCTTACATGACAATAATGTAAAAGGCACTGTTATTAGAAACGTATAATCTTTAACCAAAACTTGTGTGATAATCTTTGTTCTAGTAAAATCTAATATCTATCATTCACATGATGACAAGCTTGAATCGTGCAAGCTATCTCCTCTAATTGTAAGTACCAAGTTTCAAATGCTTTCAACATTTCACGAAGTTAAAGATAAAGGCGTTGTACAAAAAGTCTTGAGCTGTATTCAACTGGTGTTCGATATATCGATATCAATAGTTTCTTCTTTAAGCAGCGCTCGTTTCTCTTCTTTCGTGTTATTCTGCTTTTTACCGCCGCTCTTACGTTTTCCCCTATTAAGTACACCATTTTCGTCGTCCATCATGCGCAGAATTTGCGTCTGATCTGAACTTTCAATAGGCGCTATCGAAATATCGCGTACGGCGCGGAATTTACCACAGTTATTCAGATGTTCGTTCTCCAAACGGAAAAAGTTCCATACAAATCGTCTGAAAAATAAGGAGATTGTAAAAAAAATACTTTGGAACAAAATCAAATAGCGATGAAAAGTGTGCTCACCTAAAGACCTCAAGAGGCGCCACAATGGAAGTCATTAAATCGCCAGAAATGTATCTGCATTCAACTAGAATAAAACTCGCAATCCATATGAATCGTAGTATAAAATCTTCTATTATTGCGAAGTAATAAAACCACTAAAAAAAAACACACACATGTGAAATGCAATATTTCTTCTTACAGTTTAGCATATTTTCAAGTAAGTACTTACAGCCGTCGAATAAACTACTTCTTCGCGCAGAAAACGATTTTCACCAGCGTTGCTATCTAAAAGACCCCAATCCATTTTAAGATCCCATGTGTACGAATATATCGAATTAAGAAGGCAACTGCACAACCACAGCCATAACCATGGATTTTCCCATCGATTTTCATACTCCGCTGAAAATATATATTTTCGTTATTATTTTTATATTTGAACTAAATTTCTATTGATATAAATATACTGATGCAAGCACAACCTGCGTTATAAGCGTATAAAGTGCTAAAGGCAACAACGAGGAAGGTTGTAGAGTATTTTCCAGCGTTCACCAAATGCGGAAACGCCTCTTTAGAGTCTCGGTATCGACGAACGCATTGCGCGAAACGAAACCACGCTGGTAGGCAGTTCACAATAGGCCTGATAATGAGAGAGCCAGACATGCACTGCGTAGTGTCACCCGCTTTCAACCAGTCACCGTTCGTGATATAAAAACATATCAAAAAATGAAAGTCCAGGAATGCAGTCGCTAAACTATTGAATTGATCCGCCAACCAGAAATCAGCGAAATTCACATAGGCAAACGGTGATATTAAAACACGACCCTAAAATAACACAAAAGACTATATTCAATTTTTTTATTTACATGGCAAAGACGATGCTGCAGGAATTATACTTACTATGATCTTCAACAGCCAGAAACGAGCTTCGTGACGAAACACTTTAATCGGATTTATTAGGAATACCACCATAATACAAACAAGCGCCAACGGATTCACGTATGGCGGAATGCTTAAACTGGTGCTGTATAAGAAACTTAATAAACTGAGCGTCCAAACAACTCCGAGAACAGCAGCTAACTCCATGAGATGTTGCTCTGACAGGTGATTTCGTGGATCTAATTCGAAGATCAACACGTGATTGACACCTGAGGATCTCCATCCGTACACATTAATTCCAATAAGGAATAAGAATTCAATAATAAGAAAAGGACCTCGATATAATCTAAATGCAATCTTCAAATTCTCTCCACTATCGTGAAAGATCGCTGAAAATAAGACAAGATTTTACACAGTGCAGTTGCAAATGCTTTATAATATATGTGTATGTTATTGCAATACCTGAAAGAACAACTGCAACTGACAGAATAATGAAGCTGCCAGAAAATAAACCAACTTTGAAAGTAGTCCATGGACTCTGATGTTCACCAAGTGGAGGTACGCGAAGACGTTTCATGGCACGTTGCCGATCGCCACCCTCGAGATCGTTCGTCACAGTAGCTTCTGTTTCTTGTATTAGCCTGTCTATATCTTTGGATGTGTAGAAATGTGATGTCTCTACACACTCGACTCTCCATTTTGAACCAGCATCAACCGATAATAACTGAAAAAATAAAACGCTTTTAGAAATTGGAGCTCATTGTACGAGAAGACAACACACAGTATGAAAACGATTATTGGTTTTTACTTTGATGTACAGGGAATATGGGTATTATGTCATGCATAGCACAGTCATTTCTTGTTTCACTATTTTGCGACTAGGAAACATACAATGGTAATAATATTAGAATAATTGTGGTCTCTGAAATTATACACGCTATGACTAACACACATAAAGTTATCAGTAGTTATATAACATTATTTTGCAATGCAAATACCTTGTCGTGTTTCTTGAGAATCTTGCGGAAACCAGTATGATTAAGATTCTGATAGTTCTGAAGAAGTATCAGGGAAAGGTAAAATTCTGAAAATGCAAGTTTTAGGTCCCTGAGTTTTCTAGCAGGCAAAATTGGCTTCATGCTGGTCTTTCCTTTGTTCTTCCCACTTCCCTGCTCCAATGCAATTTTCAATTCACTTTGCAGAGCTGCATATTTACGTGTGGCTTCTGCTAGCTTCTCTGTAATAAATAAATATTGGTTAGTAAAACTATTCATAGAAAAAAATATATAAACTTATCGCAAGCGATTTTAATGACACAGAAACTCTTACCTGAGTAAAATGTATTAATCTTTTTTAATTCACGATCACAGAATGTAAAAAACACCTCGTCAAATGAAGCAAAATGACGTGATATCACTTCTGGTTCTACACTTTCATCTGAAGGTGCTTCTTCCACTGCTGTGTAAAGCATCGCTTTCATTTCCTGCAAATTGAAGAAAAGGACAATTAAAAATAAGTCTATGTAATAGTATCCAAAAGTTGTTTGTTTTAACAAGTTTCAAATATAAATTTTATATATGCATTACATTGTTCTATTATAATGGAGTCTAAATTTAAGTGTCTATTTACCTCATAGCTAATATATTGCTTACGCCACTCGGGTGTAATGTGTGCAGACAAATGTTCTGCGAACTTCATGTTATCTTATATATTGCAGTTGCACTAATCTGTAAAAAAAAGTATTCGAGCACTCATAATCCAAGGAGAAGGATAATATTAAATAGTAAAGTAAATTAATAATCCAAGGAGAAGGATAATATTAAATAATAAAGTAAATTACACAATAAAAAGCAACAGCACAGTGAGTAAAAATGAAGCCATCCTTATACTCACCTCAACTGATCTAAATCTCAAGCGAGGTTATAAACGGTATTTATACTGATCCAAGAAACTTTGTCGGTGTCGGCTAATCAAATGCTTTATCCGTTGCTGTTTGTGATGATAAATATTTGCTCGATACTTAACGCAAGATAAAACTATTTGACGTTTGTTAGCAAAAGGAGTCTGCAACTGCCGAGAGAACTCTTCTAAACTGCGAGTTCTTATCACGAGTTCTATTAATTAGGCTGCTGATTGAACTAACCGGAGCTAACCGAGATTCTTGGAATGGCACGCGGACTTCTCGTGTATATATACACAAGCGTAGTGAACAATGATAATAATGGATACGTGGAGAAAACACAATAGAGTTGCGTTGAATGCACGTGCGAAATGAGCCCTCACTAAATGCTCTTTGAACGTTTGTCTTCTGAATAATTTTCATACATTTGAACAAGAATACAGCGATACTTTTTCATAATAGTACAAGTTGCCATGTCATTTATTACGTCGCAATTAAACATAAATACTTAACTAATTCTTGCTGAATTATTAAATGATGATAATATTTTACACAAGAATAAGAAGAACGAACAGTTCCTAGCCAGGCCAGGCAGAGCGCTTCACGTGGCGAAAACAAGTGGGAGATTTGTTTCTAGTAGTTCAATAATTTCACGGTTTTTCCAAGGTCAGAGGAATTATATTTATTGCATATCAATTAAAGATCTTAATTAGGATTCAAATTTAGTTGCTAACAATTATAAACGATTATTGCTATTAATAATGAATGCACAAACCTGTTCTAACCTGTATTGTTGATATTTCAGATTTTTTTTAAACACATATCTTTTTACAGAAAGCAGTGAAGAATAAAGACAGTTAAAATATATCTCAATATGCAGTTTCCACTTTTATTATTAACTCTATTGGGTGTAATAAATATTAGTACTGCATGGCGTACTTTCTTGAGAGGCCGGAGTAAACATGGCAATTTGGGAGAACCACTTTTGTCTTCTAAAACATATGTGCTTCCTAAAGAACAATGGTTTACACAGTATTTAGACCATTTTAATCCAACTGAAACCCGTGTTTGGAAGCAGGTGATATATAATTAACTTTTAATATTTATTAGATTTGATTTATTTCTAGAAGCAAGTTTTTTATTATTTTTTCAAATGAACTTTGATCTGTCATTAATAATCTGTTATTCCTTTGCAGAGATATTTTGTTAACTCCAATTTTTACAAGCCTAATGGCCCAATATTCTTATTGATTGGTGCAGAAGGTATGGCAAATGCCACATGGATGGTGGAAGGTCAATGGATTGAATATGCCAAAGAATTTGGAGCAATGTGTTTTTATGTAGAACATCGTTTTTATGGAAAGAGCCATCCTACTGCGTATGTGGAATGCAAATGGTTGAATGCAAAAAAATGATATTAAAAAGATTTACATTTATGTTTCAAATATTTGCAGAGATCTCAGTGTAAAGAACTTGGTGTACCTAAGCTCGCAACAAGCATTAGCAGATTTAGCATATTTTATTGAAAACGTTAATATTGGATACAAATTTTCGAACAACACGAAATGGATTGTATTTGGAGGATCGTACGGTGGATCTTTAGCTGCATGGGTGCGCGCAAAGTATCCTCATTTGGTACATGGTGCTGTGTCTGCTAGTGGACCATTGCTAGCACAAATTGATTTCCAAGGTATAGCATAATTTTAGCTAGTGTGTTCCTGGCCAGTGTGATATTTACAAACAATTCTATATTGCAGAATATTTTGTTGTTGTTGCAAATGCCCTGAAAGAGTATTCTCAAAAATGCATTGACACAGTAGCAGAAGCTAACAGAGTGTTCCACATATTACTACATCACGTCGTCGGTCAACAGGAAATACAGAAAAAATTCAAGTGAGTAAACTCAAAATGTGAAAGATTGATTTTAGTATGTTGTCTTCTCATAAGTTATGTTTCACAGATTGTGCGATCCAATTGATCCCGGACATACAAAGAAAACAGACATCTCTAATCTGTACGAAACATTAGCGGGTAACTTTGCTGGCATTGTACAATACAATAAGGATAATCGCCAAAACTCCCAAACTGCCAATATCACTGTTGAAACTGTATGCAATATATTGGAAAACGATAAGATAGGAAGTCCTATTGATAGACTCGCTTATGTAAATAGCATGATATTAAATGCTACCGAAGAGAAGTGTTTAGATTATAGATATGGCAAGATGATCCGTGAACTTCGAAATGTCACATGGGCTAGCGAGCAAGCGGAAGGAGGTAATGCATTTAATTCCTTAAATTACTTTGAGCCGTTAACGGCAAATCATCTCCTATATTTGCAGGACGTCAATGGATGTATCAGACTTGTACAGAGTTTGGATTCTTTCAAACCTCAACTGCGCAGACCAAGATATTCAGCGATAGCTTTCCAGTGAACTTTTTTGTACAGCAATGCATCGATATCTTCGGACCTAAGTTTGTTTTCATTTGAATATACTTTGAATAGAATTGTATTTCAAATAGAATATTGAAGTGACAGAAAGTTCTTTTGCAGATTCAACTTGGATTTATTGGACTCTGCCGTCTATCGAACGAATGTTTTATATGGCGCATTAGATCTACAAGTGACAAATGTAGTATTTGTACACGGTTCTGTCGATCCTTGGCACGTACTGGGCATTACACGCTCTTCTAATCCACAGGCACCTGCCATCCTCATCAATGGTAAGTAGAATGTAATTTCTTATTTACTGGTTCGTTAATTTATATCAATTTTTTTAAAGGCACTGCTCATTGTGCGGATATGTATCCTTCGTCCGAACATGATGTGCCTCAGTTAAAAGAGGCTAGACTACAAATAAAAGACCTAATCAAACAATGGCTAAAAAACTGAAGCTCTCTACGTGTGATATTATATGTGATAACGATGCAAAATACAAAAATATGTAGTTTAAAGTTTTCAAAATAAAATTTTTTTAACGGTTTTTCTCAAAATATTAAAACAATATAAATTTTTCAAATTATTTTATATTATACATATCGTAAATATTTTAAGAAAACTATTTTTCTATCTCTTTTTTGTTTATTATTTTTTCTGCAGGATAAGAGAACATTTATATGCATTTATATAAATATGTTTATTCTAAATTCATACAATATGAAAATTAAGTCTAATATATAGATATATGTAATTTACGAATCTATAATATCCATCATCATGTACCATGTTTGAATGACAAAATTGCTTGTTCGATAGATCAAACAAGTTTGCCCCAAATGGCACTATCATTAATTAATTTAATTTAATTAATTGCGATAAATAGAATCACGGAAATACATATACAAAGTTAATGTACATTTAATTCAATCAATAAATAAAAATATTGCGATTGCAAAAAAAAATTGCATTATTTCTTAATTAGATATTAATTCCAATGAGGTTGATAGAAACGTTCGACAAGTAATAATCGAACTAGCGTTACATATTTATAATACAAATTCGATAAAAGTATATATTGAAAATATATAACATAGCAATCCACAAGGCAATCATATATTGATCTTCATGAAGTTTGTTCGCCTTTATATTCTCGTTTATTTGCGCACCGCGAAGCGCGATATTTTTTTTCACTTTTAAATGGATAACATCGGCCTTTCCTTAATGATGCCTATATGCAGTATCCTGTTTTCCTGGAAACATAGTAATCCTTTTAAAGCGAGGCCAAGGTACCCATAACGGATACAAAATTTTGTCGTTTCAATATCTCCGTAGACAATTGTTTTCGAACGTGTAAAAAGTTACATAAACCCCCAAATCTTACAGTAACCTATCTTTAAGAATTATGTTAATGTTTCTGTTTGATCGTTATTTAGATATTACTTCTTTTGCTTTTTTGGCATATCCTCTGACCAGCTCCTACTATTCTCCTTACAACAATCCATTCACGCGAGCGACGATCCATCTTACTTTTAAACTATAGCATATATAATATTTACATTTTGTAACAGACTGACGATAAATAATTTATGACATAACAGAACAATATATGCAGGATCTATTTCGGCTACTCCCGTTCTCGATATCTTTACCTAGGTACTTAGTGGAAGTTTCGCTGTGCTCCCTCGTTTAAGGAAGATCTTTAAACCCGCGACGACAGTATATATATTGCGAACATCCGCTATGGACTCTCTGCACATTTCCTACAAATCATCGTCCGCGAGTGCAGATGATGATGTAGCGCGTACGTTTCAATGATAAAATTTTCTTTCGCCCGTTTTACAGTTCTATCTTGCGTTTAATATCGCTTTAGTATCTATGATGGGATTGCGACTGTCTCCAATCGGGCGTCGCGCTTCCGTGATGATGATGATGATGGTGATGATGGCGCTTCTTGTCGGAGATGCTGGCGTGCTTGTTGGACGGATAAGCGGCGACGTCGCTGACGACCAATTCCGAGCCGTCGCGTTCGGTGTTGTTACCGCGGAAGTTCTCTCGGTATCCTGGTTCATCCAGGGTCTCCTTGCGACGGAGCGGCGGATGATTGGCCTTGTGGCCGGCGGTCTCGTGCAGATTCTCCCAGGCTTGGCGGTAGTAGCGATTCAGACCTCCTCGGCTCTCCGAGGAACTGCTGTCGAAACTGGCGACGGTGTTGCAGTCGGGCGACGCACGATGACGGTAATGCTTGCTGCTTCTTCCGCGGTTTCTACGTAAGAATGTGGATTGCGTCAGTCATTTTACTTCCTGAATATTCAGTTATAAATTTTATGAGCATTTTTACTGCACAGCACTAAGTATGATTGCGGTGAAGAGAGAGGCAAGCGTTATGTGCGATAGCGGAGCAGTCGGACCAATCCTTTGTGCAAATCATTATCTATTCACATATACAGTATACAATGACGTGTGTTTTTAAGCAGAAAGTTTGCACGTGGGTAAAAGTGCATTATTATATATGGGTGAGAGAAAACTCGGAATGTTATTACGACCCAAAGCGGTCTTTAAGCAACCTGCGACCGAGGGTGAAGATGGAAAGAAAGAAGAGAGAATAAGCACTAACATGACAATTCTAAAAAATTTGTATACAATACTGAGCAATGACGTATAACGCGGATGTCCAACACTTAGACGGTGTATCTTAGAAAAATAATGTGGAACGTGCATAAGAGCTCAATGTACTACCTTCCGCCGCGGTTGGCACGATACTAAAGACTTCTAGACCGCATTTCGTGATAATTAAGCAATATAAAAAAATAATAAAGATATTAAAGAAATATATTTTAATTTGGATGTTTGTCAAGCATCTCTTATGCGAGTCTTTGTGTATTCAAGATATGACTATTCTCTAGAACACCTTGAATACGCGGCGAGACTTGTTTGATTTCGGTGTAAGGTGTTGGTGCGTCCGCGTGCGTGCAACGCACTACAAAAGCGATTTTCTATTCCGCAGGTGTGACGTGACGTGACACGACGACGATACGAGCTAAAGAAGGTGCTCAGTAGAAACCTTGCTCTCGTTTACCTTGACTAGTATCACTCGCGAGGGTGGCGCGTGGTGGTTGGTGGTGGTACGTGATGATGGTTGATGTAGTGGGCGGTGGTTGCGTGGAGGGTTGAGGTGGTAGTGGTGGTTGGCGGGCTTTATTAGGGGAGCGGGTTCTCTCATTCACGAACGGCGAGGGGGGGGGGGGTTGAGAGGGAGGGACGGCGATGAGACGGTCTAGAGAGAGGGATTCGAGAAGTAGCCGGCACGGTGAGCCGCCGACAGGCTGAAGGAGTAAGGATGATCGCTACCGCGGCGGGCCGTGAGGTCGCGGCGCCCCAGGTGCTGGTCGGGGAAGGGCAGCGCGAGTAGCGTATACCAACGCGAGGGCATTCCGGTGTCGCCCCTCCCAAGGCCACCACTACCGCCACCCCTCAGCGCGCCAACCCCACCGAGCCCCCTGCGGCGCCTTCCTCGGACGCTGCCGCTGCCGCTAACCACCGCAACGCACAAATGGACTGTGTTAATCGTCATCATGGGTGGACTAGACAATCTTGTGGGATTCTTTCGCTCTTTCCCTGACGCTACATCTTGGATCTCGCAACTTGCTTACACCAATGTTTCTCAATTTCACATTTTCGGTCACTAATCACTCCTCGCATCATCTACTCTCATTTCCAATGCTCACAAAGAGACAAACAATTTTCGCCTTTTTACAGATTTTTTTTAAGTTTCTAGGTGACCATATATATGTGAGTTATGTTAAGAATTGGAGAACCATTGGTTTAGTTGAAGACAACAAATTGAAGGAAATTAGAAACGTCTCCTTTGCAAAAGCATAATTTGAGGCTACGTTTTAAAGTAAGTACGGGCTAAGTTACAGAAAGCTTAATGATCAATGAATGAAGGGGCGTACAGTACTATTATCTTTGCATAGTCTCATCCATACATGGTATTGCGAGATGTTAGAGAACTCGTTTGTTACATCGGGACTCGTCGCCCGAGACATGTACACGCGGTTTTTCAGTAAGCAAAAATCATTCTCTATAAAAGAAATACAGATTACAATGCAGCATTTACGTATCGCAAGTTAGGAAGAAAACAGAGGATAGAAAGTAGATCAAACAAATACAAAGCGATACAATGTACAGATCCGGTCGAACGTCGTCTATGTATATCAGAGTGCGCTACGGTATCATCAGAGACAGAGAAAATACACGGGCCGAAGATCGGACCCGATCGGATCGGAGATCGCTCGGGGTTCGTTCGACGCGCCGCTTCTTACCTGCGTATCAGTATAACGACCGTCGTGATCACCGCGGCGAGGAACACAAAGCCGCCGAACACTCCTAGGGCGATCACGGCGCCCAGATTCAGCTTGGCTTGATGGGCGCCGCTAGGCAGCTCGGCGCTATCCACTCGGAAGGGACCGGACGGTTCCGGCACAGCCGCATTGATTCCCGCCTGAGCGTGATCCACGCCGCTTCCGGATATCTCGTTGTCCTGCGGATGATCGCTGCCGGCATCGTTCGCCACCGACGAAGACGGCGCGTGTTTGTTTAGCCCGATGCTCGGCCTCCTCGAGACGGTCTCTCTCACCGTTGCGGGCAATTCCGCAGTGTTGCCCACGTTCTTCGGCGGCAGCGAGGTGCTAGTGCTGACCGTCGACGTGCTCGTTGTGGTCCTGATTCTCGGGGTGAGGTACGGCCGAATTTTCTGAGTCGATGGACGCACTGTTGGTCGCGTAGGAACGCTTGTTCGTTGTTCTTTTAATAAAAAAAATTCGTGCGTTGAATAAATATATAATATATAATATTTTGTAACAATTTTTAAATATTTACATTAATTTTAATCAAACAATTATTATTATAATTAATCAGCGCTACTTTGACGTTTCTGTTTTATACTTTTTGTTATTGAATTTTATGAAACTACTAAAAATATCTCATTTCTAATTATATTTATTGCTTTAGACTATGCACAGAATTATACTATCACTACTTATTTTCATTAGAAAGTTAAATACCTGTGCAAGTGGGTGGGACGTGATCGTACAATCCAGTAGCTAAACAGAGTATTTGCCGGACACCATCGAGCTGATAGCCTTTGTCGCACGTGTAAGTGACGATACTGCCGACCAGCAGACTTTGATTGAAGTTATTCCGTGCCGGAACATTTTTGCCTTTGTTGCCATCGTCTATTCGGATGGAACTGTGCGCGACCGTGGCCGGTGGATCGCAGCGAACCGGCTCGCATCGCGGCGGCGGACCGTTCCAACGTTCGTCGATGTCGCAGGTCAACCGGGCGCGACCTGCACGATTACAGATACATTTGTAAACATTTTCTCGCAAGATTTATTTGACGATTGACGCAAGATGCTTTGCAAGATTCTACGTGTTCAGTCGCGATCGACCGTAATGCTCACCGGTCATCTCGTATCCCTCTTCGCAGGAGTAAAGCACTTGGCTGAGGTAACTGACGGTGTTATTGATGAGCGTGTAGCCACCGTGTTCTATGCTCGCGGGATAGCCGCACTCAATACCTAAAACGATCAGAGCGCATTGTGCTGTGAGTCGCGTCCGTGATAATTTCAGTGCGGTTTTCTTCGACGATCGCTTACTTTTGCACACCGGCGGAAACTCGTTGTAGAAACCGGTGTCGAGGCAAGTGCGAGTCGCCGGCCCGATCAGAAGGCTGCCCGCGTTACAACTGTACTCCACCGCCGCTCCGACTTCGTACACGCCACTGGAAATCCTGGTGGACGGGCCAGTGGACACTATCATCGTGGAATTCGGCGGCTGCTCGGGTCTGCCGCAGGCCCGTGGTTCTAAGAGAGCAATATTATTATTATTTCAATAAAAAATGGACGGACAATGCTTCTGTAATAAAATGCATACGAGCATAGCGGGGAAACAAATCAGGTAAAATTAATTTCGCATAAAGTAATTGCAAATTGATAACAAAACGTTATCAAGATGAAAAATTCTAACAATATGGTAATACAATAAAAAATACAATTAAACTTACGATGCTGACAGATGAAATTAAGCCGGGCTACGCAAGGTGTAGCCGACCAAAGCCAGCCTTTGTTGCCGTCGTACCGAGCGCAATTGTTTTCGATGCCTTGCGGCGTGCTCCAGAACGAGACGGACACCTCCTCACCACTTCCGGTCCACCTCCACAACGTCGGATCTTTCTCATCCCTAACCGCGCCCATCCAATACTGACTGGATGTGTCGCTCCTTCGTTAACAATCAAGCAAATTTGTATTAATTATGCTTCAAAGCATTAGTTTTTTAATATTTAAATTTTAATGTTGTTTAAAAATAACTGTTCCGTTCGATTTTGCATACCTATGCCGCCTCCACAGCTCCCACGAAACGAATCCCTGCAGAGCGGGATTACTTTCGTCCACGAGCGTGCCGTCTCGCTTGCGGCAGAAGTTCAGAGCCTCGCCAAACATCAACGGCTGGTGATTGTAAAATATGTAGCACTTGCCGTTGTAGGTCGCCGTAGATCCTGGCGGCTGATCCCGAAATTGAGGACACCTCTCGATCGGCAGAGCCTGCATTTATTTTTCTCATAATCAATTGTGACAGAGGCGAAGAGAAGGGCAGAAGACGTGCTTAATTTTGTCTCGCGATGAGTCCCTGTTATTTTGCATATTACTAAACGTACTTGATCGGTATAGACGAACGCCTCGCACAAGGACAGCTGCACGGGAATATCGGCGGATACTGTCGCCTCGAGGTGCACCGAGACGAAAGCTCCCGGCATCGGCGGGTTGCAAGGCAGGAAGAGGGACTGCCCTTCCTCCAGAGTTCCGGAGAACCGATTGCAAATGGGATTCATTCCCAAGTCCGGCCGATTGTTACCAACGCGAACGACGATGGTGCCGGAGCTGCCATTAACTGTAAATTAAACAAATTACTCGTTAAAACCCAATCGATCAAGTGCACTGCAGTATTTTTATTTCCATCGCATTCTAGATATTATCCAAATTATCGTCGTCTGAAATATATTTCGTGGCGAAATACACCTGTTCGCAATATCCTACAACGTTGGAGTAACGTAGTTTCACCAAAGAAAAACTCTGAAAATTACCGGTTGAGCTCAGAAAGTTGTGGGATGCCTATAATTATTGCGAGTCCACCGAGAGACTGTTTGAGTGTGGCGCGTGTGCGTGTAATTAACGGTATGCACTTACGATACGGGACGTCAGCTTAATCTGTGTCAATACCAAAAATAATTGCACGCCGCCGACAGCCTATTAGATTCAAATTAAAAGATTCCTTTTAGACAGAGTGACTTTCAAGCGATATCATAAGAGCAGGTTTCACAGCTCGCAATGTAGATTTTATCTTATTTCGCCACAACCATGTCATACATCCACCTTTCCTGTTTACATATCCGCACGTCATTAACCGCTCACAATTTTTCCACCCCGCTTTGTTATTTATAGACGGCGGACTCGTGATACTTGTACGTCTGCGGGAAAATTTTCCACTTTCAGACAGGTAATAAAATTGCCGCGAAGAAACCGAGACGCGATCTATTTTTATTTTTTTTTGTACGCGCATCCAGCGATGATCTATGTAAAAAATAAAACGACGCAGAAGCGATGTGGAAACTCTAACCGGACGATATCGCGCCGATGTACTTTCTAAATAATTCAGTCGCGCTGCATCGATATACTCGGATTAATGCGAACCGTCGAATGGGTTCTTTTATTTGCGGTTCCGTTTAAAGGGTTAGAATTCGCGGCGGTCGATTACAAACGTAGTATCTGGACAGATAAAATCATCCCGCCGTGCAGCGCTACATCTTCTGACCGAGAAAGCATTCCGACTGTGACCGTGGCTACGGACAACCGCCCGTTCGTACTCCGCGCAATTACATGCTTTCCACGTTTTGTCCCAGCAGTGACGATCGCAGATCCGAATCCGCGCTTCGCGCAAAGCTCCGTTAAGAGATACGCACACGCGGCACGTCCGTGCGTACGGGCGCTTTCTTATTGCACGCCGTAAACCTCCATTCTCGCCTGTAATGCGTGCGTAGACATGTAGCGCATGAGTGAGGAGCAGCGCCGAGGTAAAGGAGAAACTCCGCGGCGTCGCGAAAGGATTCGAAAGACACTCGGTCGTGAATTGCGCCAAGTGTCACGAGCGGCGAGATAGACCGTGTCAATCATAAGTATTTACGAATAATCACAGTTATTATTTATTAATTTGTTTTGCCAAACTTTTGCCGAGTGACGTTTCCGGTTAAACGTTTGCACGCCGGAAGAGATCACGAGAGTATCTTTCAAAAGTGTCACGCAAAGAAGGTTAATGCGAACGCGCTCGTTTTCTACCGACTGTGAGAACTAAGCTATCATTAAATCGATACTTTCATCTTTATAAAAACTAATTAATTATGCAAAAGTAACTAATTATTCGTATGTAAAATAAAGGATCGCGATTCCGTGTTGGATAAACTTTTAAATAAATTACAAGTTTCTTCAGTTAAAATTTAACAGAAAAGTGAAACTTAATTAGGAAGTGTTGCTTGATTTTAAATATTAAAGAATTCTTTCAGAAATGCAAAGTAGATTTTGTTCTCTCGCGTCGTTCTCAAAATTTCGAAATTGTGTTTTTTAAAATTGCGCACCAAATACATTTATAATAAATCATGCATAATCTGACGCTTAATTTAATTTCTGCAATTAATTGTGCGCGGTGATGAGTAACAATGTACGCAGGCGTCACTAATACACAATAGGTACGAACGGTTTGCTGTCAAAATTAAACGATTCAATTCTCCTTCGCCGCTGGGGCGTAACGTGAAAGTTGCTCCTTCGCGCTGAGAGGCCAAAGTAATTGTGATGCACCGTCCGTTTAATTATAAGCGGCCGTGCGGACTGAAGCCGGCATGAGAATTATCGTCACGTATCTCATCGTTGCTGGGCCGTGACTAAACAGCTACTTAAGATGGGTCACATTATGCCGGCCATTGTTTCCTCGCCATCTCGCGCGGCGAGTCGACTCCGCGCGCGCGTGTCTATCCGCGAGCACAAAGGCTCGCGATCGTCAGTTATCGCATTTGAATAATTCATTTCCCCGATGTGTAGATTATCCAATGCGATTGCCGAGGAAATCGTCGGCAATCCACCTCGCGATTATCCTACCCGCGAAAGCGCCGCTCGAGATTAAGACGCAATCGATTCTTCTCGTCGCGCTCGCATTATTCCAAATCACTTTATCGTTTTCCGATGCATAATCAGGCAAACTTGTTAATTTGCCGAATGGCTGATTCACGTAAGTAAAGATCGAAGTACTCTTACTCGCGAGGAAAAAGCAGCCGAGAACATCTTTCCTGAACAGCGAAACGCTCTCGCTACCTTCGTTTGCGCGAATAGCATCCAACAATTTTTATTATCAGTCATTTGACGGTGAAAGTTTCCCTCATTCAACTGGCCAGCGGTAAGAACAAAGCGAATGAACTTTCGAAACGATAACGCACAGCAGCCTTTATTAGTGAAGAAGCGCAAATGAAATCAGAATATATAACTTATTGATGCGCGAAAGTTTCGTGCTATTAGTGTTGCGGCCGTATCGAAAGTTTTCTTCCTGTGCAGCGATTAAATACTGTCAATTACATCACAAAGTATTGAAAAAATCGAAGCAAAAATAATGTGTATTGCAAACAAACAATGAACAGCCTTATACTTTCGATTAATTTTACGCAGATGTCAATTTCCGAACTTTCGAATTATTTGATGTAAAGTTTGAACTGTGCGAATTGCTTAATCATCTAAAATTTCCGAGCACTAAGTTTGAATCTAACGCCATGCTTAAAGAAAAGAAATTGGCAAAATAATCATATATATTACATATATTCACAAAATCAGACGCTTAGTATTTCGATTTTTATAAAAGCAGTGTACATATATGTAATCATTGTGAATTAAATTTATATTTGAATCTATATTTAATCCGAGAATGATCGCGTGAAGGTTTGTTAGACTCCAGAAATCACTGTAATAATGTAATTAGTTACTTAATGTACTCATTCCATTCTCTTAACATATATTTATGTATTTTTCCGAGTATATATATTTTTCTTCCCAGAAAACAATAAAGAAATCCTATATCCGTAATGTCTGAAGAACACCGCATGCAACTTTCTAAACAAAAAAAACTCGCTACTAATTGCAGATTAAAAGGAAAAAAACTGACGAAATGAATTTAGTTCCAGAGTTTAATGTCTGGCGTAACTTGCCGTTGATTGATGACCGGGCTCGCGTTTCTCGATCAAACGTTGCCGAGGAATGCACGCGGCGTATCCGCGAGAGACGTATCACGATGGTTTTCTAACAATTGAAAGTGGAAAGACTCTCACTTTCATGGAAGAGTTTCTAAATGATCTCGCATGCGAGCAGGGCCTTCGACCGGGTCGGCGGAGAGGGAAGGAAGTGCGAATTTTACGGTGGAGTTTTACGGCTCGTTTACGGTTTGCTGAAAATAGTTTTTTTTTCTCCGCGGCTTTATCGTCCGCAGATGAGATTTATTCGCTTTAAACCGACCGAATTCGAAAGCCGGCAGGCTAATCGATCGTCCACAGCCGCCATTTCAAGTCGACGAGTGCTCGCTGAAGCGTCGCCGATCTCTTCGAGGGTGAATCGCTGCGAGATTTATCGCGACCGGAGAACGCGAATAGACGAACGGCCTTCATACCGACAAGTTTGTCTTGCGATCGCACTTGCTTTGTACCGTTGCGGATAATACGATCCGTGAATCAACTTCGCCAGCGGGCGCCGTTATTTCCAGTAATTACCGGTAATGCCTATTTATCGATAGAAAGTCGAGAAAACGCGCACCGTGGAAACGAAAGTGTCGGACGACCCGACCGGGTATTTACGATATCGCGGAAATTCTATCGCAACAATGAGCCACGCATTAGAATTCATATTGGAGGAGTTTACCGTCAGCGTTCATCGGCAGCAACATCGCTGCAAGAACGGGACGCCTCGCGGCAAATTGCAGTGGATGGCTCTTTACAACTGTTTTTTTTTTTTGCTGATTTAAATCGAGCGGTATTATAACGAGCGTCGATTCAATACCGAGATTGAGACACTGTGAAAAGAAACAGGTATCGCGATTTGAGAGTGGATCGTAAAATTACGAACGGCAAACGGTCCAATTATTGCGGCCATCGCGCGATAGTTTGTTAGTTTTTTTATGCTAGATGAAGGATCTTTTAACGCCGCAAATCTTCTGAACTAGAAAGAAACCGTCGGTCATTCCGGTCAATCCGAGGCTGTAATTTAAAACAGAGCGAATCGTTGCTTAAAGACCGCAATTGCAAATATAAATTTTTTGCGGTTATAATACTTATTACTTCGTTCAGCATTGAGCAAGAGAAATGCTAATACTATTTTTTTTTTTTATTCGTACGTTAATATTAAATTTAACAAACTTTATTACATAACGGTTCTTAGATATTCAATCAAACATAGCAAGCAAGAAAATAAATTATGGAATGCGTTATAACATATGTGACCTAGCCGAATACTGTGTTAAATCATCATTTTATTAAATGCATCAAACATTTCGATAATTTTTTAATGTTTTTCCGCGATGGAAACAAAAAATTGACAAGTGTAAATTAAAACGCAGAAAACATTACTGAAGCAATAAATCTAGCAAAACTTTTATCTAGCAAAACTTTTATCTAGCAAATTCATTATATTATATAAAAAAATATTAAATTGCACAAGAAAAACAATAAAGATATGGCATAATATATACTATAAGTTCTTCTGATTAAATGTAATCGTCATTAATAGGTAGAATATATAATCTTCTCCTTTAAACATGATTCTAAATTATCTAAAATTATCCGTTACTTGTAAAAAATGATATTTTTATGGAACGCGCACTAAGCCAGCGTACATTAAATGCGACGATAGGACTTGGAATCATCGCTTATGATTTGTAAAAATTCTCTCACTGCACAAAACGGTAAATTCTCACAAACAGCAAGGCGCTGAGAAATATACGGTATTACTTACCGCAACACGGTTTGCCGAAGTCCAGACGCACCAGCTGCACCATGTACGGCTCCAGCAGGTTTACGTACCACCACGGCTTGTGCTCGAGCCTCGTCAAGGTGCAGGTTTGCGGCGTGTAAATCTGGCCGCTGCTTCCGTCGACGGCGCGTTGCGGAATTCCGCCGTCCATACTGCTGGACTGCATCGGTGCTTTGCCGCCGGCCACGTTCAGAACTGCGATGAAAAATTAATACAATTGATATTACATCCGCACGTCATGTTTGTTAATTGATACATTGATGTAGGCTACTTCCGCAAGTACCGGAAGATGATTAATCTTCTTCGCGCAACGATTGTCACAATCGAATTTATGATTCAATGTTCACGATGTGTAAAGTTCTACACGATTAGATTAATATCAAGAGGCTCGACAACATCTTGTGCCTAAATGTATAATACAAACATTCGTTAAGCACGTTGTTAACAAAGAAATCATTGTCGCACAGGAATCGCATAACCTTAACGAAAAATAGTTGTCAAATGTCTTGCATTAAAAATTCCTTATAAAATTTTCATATAAACTGCTGTAGTTACAAAATATATATATACGACGTCTGGAAAATGTTTTTATGAATTCATATAAAAAAACACAGTCGTATCTCACGCAAAATCACGCACAGTAAACAAATATGTGCAACTTAACCTATAAATTCAGCGTGCCGGGCGGTAATAACTGTTTCGCGTTTTTATGCTGCACAGGAAGAATTAATTTTATTTCCGTAATTAAGCAATAATATTTCGCAAACTACTCACCCGAAATAAATAATTCTAACCATATTTAAAAGTGTTAGAATTTTATCTTTCAAATGCGACTCGTCCGCTGCGATTTTTCTGTGCGAATATATACATTTCTATCATCGTATCCCGAATGAATGTCGATTTCGGCCGAAGCCGACGGCAGTCGCATGGCCGAAGCAGTCTGCGACGATGCGACTGTGTGTTCTATATAGGGCAATGACCTATATATAACACGTGGTCTACTACTCCCGTTCAGCCGATCAGCTGATCCGTAGTACCGTAATAGTTACAAAACTTCCGCGTTCCGCGCGCACGACACACGCACACACTCAAAAGCGGTGTCGGATTTTTAAAACGTTAGAATTCGGCGAAAAATTGACGTAGCGACTCGCGGTAAAAAGCAGTATTCTGTGCTTCGCGTTCCGCACATGCATATGCTCAGTATATATGCTCTTATCATGACACGTATATATGTGTAGATAAAATATAAAACAGTAGATTATAAAATATAAAGAGATCTCATCTGGCAGTTATAGAATACAATTAGAGTGCATATCTGCGAAGGGATTGTAATTAAAAAATCAGAATCCGCGTATTTTATTCTTAGAATTTAACACGTGTTTTTTAATTTTTATTTCAAAGAAATAAAAAAAATCTTTTTTTCTACATGTATATAGCGCGTAATAATATAACATTTTAATTAACAAAGAGAATGACAAGCACGAAACAGATATTTTTTGCGTCAATGAATCACTAGTCATTTTTTATCAAGCTTTACTAACTTCTTTTTAATAGATACGAAGAGTTCTATTAAAATTTTCATTAACAAGTACGTTATAGTAGAAGACAGGCGTGAGATTGTACATCACGTATCGCACGCAGCTAAATATATTATCCGTTTTAAAGGTAATCTATATTAAGGGAGGCGTGATTATACGGCAAAAACGGACGCGACAGATGATCGCATCGGTCGCGCATTCGCATGTATGCAACCGTGCTAGCCATTTTTTTTCCTCACGTCAAGTGCATGCTTCGATGACGCGACGATAACTGCATGTGAGAAAATTGCCGTAACTCATTGCCATATCCGTTCGATAAAAAGAAGGTCGGCCATGAGCTACCGCCGCCGCACGGGTGAATAGCCGTACGGCACGCAGATGCAGACGATTTGGCCATCCGTGATCGCCAGAAGTTTTGTGCAGCAAGTGCCGTGCATTCGTGTACACAAGTTGGCGGCCTTGCGGTAGTTTTACTGTACCGTAACGTGAGAATTTTATCGGTGTTAATGCGTTGGTGCAATGCCGACGACGGCGGCGGCGCGCGTCAGTCTTAAGACGCTTGCCTCGATTATGTCTAATCGAAATGACAGCCAAGGATACGATCGGTATCCTTTATTGTAGGATTGACTAATCAGACAAGCCCATGAATTGCTCACGCTGCAAAAGCATCACGTAGAATAATGGTGGTTGATTGCGCTCGAGACGGACGAGTCATTTCGCGACCCAGTATCGTCCATTTGACATCTTTTGCGAGATCGAGCTACGCTATTTTACGGTCAATTTATATTTTTCTGACTTATTGTTTCATGACCTCTTTCGTCGTCGTAAAGTCAAGCAGCAAACTGAATGCATGGCACTTTAAGAGAACTTGGTAAGTGTCATGTACGAAAAGCAGACGGGTGAGATATCGAATTTAATTTCTGTCGTAAAATATTTATCAATGATTTATGTGAGGATTATTGCCGTACAACTTTATCGCGTATTATTTCATACTATTATACAATGTCAGAAATAATGTGTGTTAATACAGATTTCTCACGTATGTATGTAATATTCTTCACGGCCGGGATAATCTATAAATTACTTGATGTAAGCATTTCATGGCGCCGTTCAGAGGTATCTCGTATGCGTTTCTGCATGCAATCTGTTACCACGGCCCCGAAGTATCTCGCGGAATCTTCCGCGGAACAATCGAGAGATGCGCCAAGTCCGCTCGGCGAACGGATCGCATGCAGAAGACCGGTGCGCAAACAAAAGAATGTCTGAAAGTTCGCCCGTACGCGTCGAGCGCATCTGCAAGATACCCCCGTGATAAGCGCGTTGCGAAATACCGGCCAGGTTTATTCGGTAAGGTTAATCTTCTTTAATTGTACACCGCGTCCGTGCGGAAGAAAATTCGCCGGCCGTAGGAAAAACTTGCACAATCGGTTTTAGGTCAGCGAATGTTTCTGAAATTAGTGCTCAAGTATAATTACGGATACAAAAAAAATCGAGTTCATCGTTCTTGAACTTTAACAGTGCGTTCAACGTTTCAAAGCCTCTCACGAAGGTTGAAAATAATCCTTCGGTTGCGACACGCGAAAATTCTCGGAAATGTCGATAAAAATGCATTGTAAACATATGTGAAAATTCGTTATTCTTACAATCGGTGCGCGTGCGTTCGTGTCAGTCGTGTCTGTCGTGCGCGGATATCTTAACAAAGCAATCGAGATTCCACGGGTAGGCGAGGTTCGACACATAAACGTAATCAATGACATTCTCGACCTAAACTACAGTACTAGCTAGCGCCCCCCCCTACCCCCCCCTCCCCCCCCCACTGAAAGTCCGCGTATGCCGCGCACGTTCCCACAAGTACGTATACGTACGCCGTGCCTACCTCATAATTTACAGTTATTTCTTATACACGCGAACGCGAAAGGTTTTTACGCTGCCGTATCGTTTCCGTTGATATCGCATAACGAGGTATACGGAAACCGTATAGGCGTAGGGAAACCGTCCAATTGCGTGCACTTCCGACGCATCATTGTAATCACGCGCAATATTGAATATGCACGAATAAATTGTTTTCGCGATTTTTATAATACAATTGATATTTCACATGACTCCAATATTTGTAAGAGAGAGAGAGAGAGTTGATATTTTTATCGAAAATTTCATAGAAATAATTGTCGATTCAAGAAAAATAAAGATAATGAGAAAATTGAAATGTCATTTTATGATTAATAACGATAAAGCCGGTTAAATCTAAAAAAAAAATTTTTATTGCAAGTTTAAGATAAAAATTAAGATTATTTTTAAATATATATTAATTGTGAATCGTATAATTTTTTATTTTGACAGAGTAGCGCTGTTTTATTCCAATATAAGATACATCTATAAAATCAATTACTTAACCGCTTTGTATTTGATTGTTTTTCATTGCAAAACACAATCTGGCTAGTCTGACTGTCGAGACGAGGCATACTAATCGCTCATATATTCTTGTGTGCCATATTCCTAATACGTGATGAGAATACCAATGACATAAATATATTCCAGACGCAGCAACTGTTAACGTTCGTCTCATAAAATTGCTAGTTTTAAAATTGCAAGTTTACTAAACCGCTTTTATATTATGATAATAATATGCAACAAGTGCTCTAGCAACTTATGTCTTCTGCATTATGCGCGGCACGATTCGACGTAAAATCAGGAAGTTCAATTCTATATTGAATACCTGAAGAAGAAAGTGCGACTTCACTTTCGCAAAATACTGTTTATGGGTTTTTAAAATAAAAAAAAACAGGAAACGCTTCATAGGGGCCAACGCCGACTTTATGTCTGACTGAAAGTTTTACTATGCTGTATACAGGACGATGAACGCGATTGCTACAGTGTGTAATCTTTATAACTTGAAATATTTCTTTATAACTTGCATTAAATTTTAGACAAAATTTGGAACATTTTTGAAACGAAAGCAAAAGATGAGACGCCTGAAATCGAGACTAGTCAAAAAAAGTCATAAAAGTGAAATAAATGTGCTTTGATGTAACAAGAATTATAACCCTATTGAAGCGAAGAAATAAACGTTCAGCATCTCACACGGAGAGCAAAATATTATGAAGTATAGAATATTATAATATAAGAATATTATAATATAAGAATATTATAATATAAGAATATTATATTATAAAAAATTATGTTAATATATTAATATGCACACTGGATATAATAATACTTATATAAAAAATTATTATGGACTGGATATTTATTAAATGGATAATAAAATTTTTTATTTAAATATATTACTAAGATAAAAAAATTAAGAGCAACAATTCAAAATTTTAGATCTAGAGTACTTTGTAAATTTGCAAAAACTTGATTTGTCTTAAATCTCTGAATCTGAGTGTTTAAAGTTGAAAAGAAAGCTTCACGATAGATATAATATCAAAATCTTTTTGCGATCTTATCAATCGGATATCACGCCGAGTCGCAAATAAATTTTCTGCAGAATTAGCGCACGTTTATTGTGGAAGTTGAACGAGAAGCACGCGTTCGAAAAGTCAAGTTTACGCACAGCTGCGCAAGTGGCAACCTCCTCTCGCGGTCGGCGGATCACGAGAAACTGTTGCGACCGTCTTGGGTGGGCAGTCGAGTAATTTCGCGCAAACATTACCTCGCGCGCACGCTTACCTCGCAATCGTCGAAACGACGACGAGAAGACGCCCGGTTATTGCCCGGCGCAAGAAATGTCGACGCCATTACAACGTCATTAATCTGTTGTACGGTATTTCCTCTTGCCTCGGGAAATAGGTAGTAAAAAATTACCGCAGGAATGCGCAGGATCCTGCTCTACTAAAATACCGAATCCTGAACCATTCGATTCGTGATTCTGAACTGGTTCGGCCTGTCGACATGGACATCCAATGGAAACACTAATTTTAAATCCCATATTTTCTAATATGATACGAAAATTTCTTTATGAAACATTTACAAAAGTTATTGTAGATAAATCATTACAATGTCGAAGCTATTTATCATCTAAAGAAGATTCGCACAAATAGTAATCATGATACACACACAAACACATTGTGCAATATTTTTTTCTTGAAATTCTCAACCTAATTTTTATTTTAAATAATATCATTTGCGTGTTGTACGACAGTTAATTAAAAACACAATTTGTTTTCATATAAAATAAATTTGCCCCCATTCTGCAATTAATAGTAATAATTAATGTAAAGATGTTAAAAGGGCAAGGTGCTTTAAATCCCCGAAATATATTTAAAAATATTCATTGATTCTTTGTATTGTAATATATGTAAAGTGCCAAAAAAGCATTATATCGCTGAGTTTATTAGCGCGAAACATACATGCAATTAGTTGCAAAATAATACTATTTAAATAAAATTAATCTCACTAGAGCATTGTATTAAAAAAATAAAATAAGTTTTTAATTCTATATAAAGATTAAATTAAAAAAAAAATAGAATGATCAGTATAAATATACTAAAAGATCAAAAACCGAGGATAATTGGCAATATTATCATAGAAGAACCGTGAAAATATTTGAGTTCGGAAAGTCATTAAAAATTTCAATATACAGACCGTGAAATATGAAAATGATTCCAGAGATAATCTAGGTCAAGACCATTTTACTTATAACTGTCCCTTTTTGCTCTAATCAGTTGAAAACCCCGTGACTAATAATTTTGTCCTAGTAACAATGCATCGTTTAAATATATCTAGGATATAAATGTGCGCTGGGACAAAAACTGCGCGTGCATCGTCATCATCGATCGGCACGGTTATAATTATACTTCATCGGCTTTATCAAATTATTTGTATCCAACGTTATTTTCACAGATATAATTTGATTTTAACGTCAAAGTATGATGTGTATTATTATTAAAATTTGGCGAATAGAGCATATAACAAATTAATTTTTTCTTTTTTGCGTTTTGGTTGCTTCGCGCCGTGAAGTCTTCGCGAACATCGGGGCGTATTGACATCGTGCACTCGTAATCCGCGCGACCCACTTCCGCCCACATCGCGGCGCCGATTCCCGTGGTCCTGGACCAGTTCGGCCTGTCGTCGAGCTCACGGAGCGTGACCGTGAGATCTCATCATGAGCGATTCTCTCCGATCATGCTCTTTCACTTCAATACATTTCGCACGAGAACACGTGCAAGAATTGCTGAGAGGAAGAACGACAGGCACTTCCGGAGATAAATGCATTTCATTCTATCACCGGCTAATTGCACAGTTTTCTGTCGAAAAAGAATGAGGTCGGTTCGCGGTTTAAATACGTCCTCGCCAATCTTAGTTCTACTTCTTCTGTGAGCGAAAATCAAGGGGCAATTAAATAAAAAGTGAAATAAGCAAAGTAAGAACATGAATTCATAAATTTTGTAGATAATTTAAATTAAAAAAAATGCTCTCTTCTTAATGCAGATATTTTGAAATGCAAATTTCTATCCGGAAGCATTTGACGATTGTGGCGTGTTTGCTTGAGAATTGAAGGAAGGAGAATCACCTCATTCTTGAAATGATTAATCGCAAGACTAGAAAATACATTCCGTGCTAAAATAATTGCATGCACGCAACATGCACGGAATGCGAGGCATCCACTATCGATCGAATCTTTTGCCAATAAGAGGCACAGATATTAGCATGCGCAAAACGTACGTGAAAAACACGTGAGATATTCATGAAATAAACAAGTCGTTAACGGGCGCGGTGACCATTTTGAGCTCGACAGGTTTCATCGGCAGCGGAAAATTAGCATTCTATGCCGCATAAAATAAACCAATCATTTCGCTTAACTTAATGTGCATCCGGTTGCACGTACGTGATGAAATAAAGGCAAATTTACGATCGAGATAAACGGTGAATGACGACAGAAAAGATGACATGAGATGAAAACGTCGCAAAAACGCGTGAAAACGTTCTGCGAGGTCGTCTGAAGAACGAGGTAAATTCGTCCGGGCACAGGCCCAAGGACAAACGGAGAGCCTGACGAATCTGTGGCCGAGGAATGCGTGTGAGAAGGTTGGGAAGGCCGCGGGCGCTCTTAGATGGTAACAGGTTCAGAGTTAACGGTGCACTGCCCCCACTGGCTGCTCGTCGGCATACCATTTCTTGCGGCATCGTCGTTGCCGAGCCTGCTCGGTCAAGGACACGTGAAATCGGGTCACTTGCCTTCCCAAAATGTAAATTCATCGCAACTTCATCCGGCCCTTATTGACTATTCGCGATAAATTGCAAAATTTCGAACGATTCCCCCGCCAAGATTTCTTTCTATACGAGAAACGTCTCCATCTTACCGAGTCCATTAAACTCTAACGCTTTAAATTTGTGTCAGAAACGAGCAGAGAATCGGAGTTAAATTTGCGTGATTCAAATTAAACAAATCGATCAAATCAAAATAAAATCAAAAAAGTTTACATATGATAATAAAGTGTTATAATTTTAATCTTACTTTTTTCTATAGTTTATCAATATCAATATTTTGATCAGATTTTGTCATGATTTATAATTAAGATATAAGACGTAAATTCGACAGCATAATTTCGTGAAAAAAAAAAGAATTGTTTCCAACATGTAAAATAAGAATGTCAGAAAGCAATTTTACGAGCGTCGAGAGATGCATGGTTACTTACCGCAGAAGGGCACGCCTTCCGGCGTCCACGTGCCGTCGGCCTGGCATTCCCTTCTCGTCGGTCCGAGCAGCTCGAATCCTCGTTCGCAGGAATACGTGGCTACAGTGCCCTCCGGTAACGCGGTGTCCTTAAGCAGGGCATCCTCCTCGTCTATCACGTCATCGATGTCTGTGCCGGTGAAACGAACGCTGCTGTGCGCCGGTGCGCCTGGATAACCACATCCGGCGCCATTGGTGCCTGCAACACGATTATTATCCTGTGATTATCGCCGGGTTTTCCGTGAGTAACGGAGGCGCGTGTGTTATTTGATTTGCGATTTAAATCAATGCGAGAACTTTGTATTTTAATTAATTTTGCAACTGGCTTTACATCATTGTTCTTATTTACATCATTATGCCTCAGTAGAATGTTAATGCGGGAATTGTCTGAACACTGAGTAGACCTAGTTCCTGAAAGTTTCACTTCGTGTGCCCTCGTATGACGACGACCCGAGTTATCGAGAACGACGCGCTAATTAATGCAGATCGCTCTAAATTCCCTTTCTAACGCCGATCCGTCGCGCGTTATCGATTCCACCGTAATCGCGTGTCTATGGGAGATTATATGTATAAATGAAGTAAATTGCTTTCCGCGGCTCGACCGGACTTTTGGAATGAGTTTCTAGAAATGCAGAATATGCGAAATAACACCATTCCAATCCCATCCTTCCATACTCGATAATCACGCACCTTTTTCTTAAACGATCGTGCACGGTTTCACCGCGTTTTTCTCGCCGATCACGTTCAATCGTGCGCGTCCGTTTCACGGGGCAAAATTGCCTGAAATACCAGCGCGCGAATTATCGCGCGCAGGCTGTTAGAGCCTCGCGAAGGATACACTCTTGGCTATCTGCGCGATTCAATCTCTCGTGACTAATTGCACGAATAATGCAACGCGTTTTCTGGCCGGCCATCGCGGGCGCTAGGCGAGAGTGCTTCTCAATCTCCTCGCCGTATCGAAGACACGCAACCGCACATCATCACGCACCGAGAGCGCATCAACCATACACGATGCAAGGCGGGACGTTGCCTCATCGGATTGCCGCTGCCGTTTTCAAGCCGATGATTTCAATGGGCGGCGAGTCTCGTCACCTTCCTGAGCAAAATGCTCAAATCACCGGCGCAACCTAGCAGCTTTACGTTATCCTCGCACGGAACAGAGTTTCAATTATGTAACCCGTATCGTCCCTTGCACAACGAAAGCGAGCACAGGAAACCAGCACTCTCGTAAGTGCTTTACACTGCTTTTGCTTTTTCCTGCGACGGATGAAAGAAAAACGCAGGTTCGGTCTAAGTACACATCCGTTGCCGGCAATTACGCAAGATGTTGCGAAATGAGGCAAGTTTATGATCCCGGAGGTGCCTCGTATACAGTATGATTTTTAGACATTAAACGGTTATTACAGTGCAAAAATAAATATGAAAGATAATGCTGAAGAAAGACCACTTGGGAAACTGACGGAGAATGCAAATCCAACGCTGGCTTTTGGAATTAACTTTTCTCAACGAGGATATTGAGAGAGATCGGTATTTTTTACAATCTGCTAAACTTCATAATCAGCATTTGAGTAATTTTGCATCGAAAGTTCTAAAATCGAAATAAAAATAGAAAAAAAAATTAAATTTACTTCAAATTGCTCGACGAACATTTCGGTGTTACTTTTGCTTCTACAATTTGATTCGCGAAGAAATCTCCATTTTCAATATTTCATAACTCGAGAATTATTAGTATCTCTTGTAACACTCTCATTATCGGTAATAACAATCAATTTCATATTCCACAGGTTTCACCTGTGTGTTTATTTTCCAACAATTTTGACTTCTATGTATAACTATGATGCGTACTTCAACCTTATGATTGAAGATGCAGAAACGCTCACATAGCAGACCCTGATTATACTATGCCCTTCCGTCTCGTCACGTTTCACCGGGCACGCGGGCAGAAATAAACGCAGAAACACACACACACACACACACACACACACACACACACACACACACACACACACACACACATGCGCGCGTGTGCTCGACGCAACCCGCTATCATGGCCAACCCTGTCATTTACGTGCAGTACACGCGGCTGCCAGGCGATCCAGAGTGCAAAAGTGCAACATACCGAATTGCCGCTCAACGGTCGCCGCGAAGAAGCGAAGGATGTGAGTAAAACGCCGGTGAGATACGTAACGGAAGCGATAATGCAAGCGACTCGCATCCTGCGGCGATCGCGCAATCGTCTAGGAAGTCATCGGCTATGCAGGCGCGCGTTATCGTGTGTGCCAATCCGAAATATGGTCTCCGAGGGAAGTAAACTTCAACGGCTTGGCAAATTTCACTCGTCATCTTGCGTAACTGCCGTCGCACTCTATTCTTTATTCCGTCGGCTATTCGTCCTTTCTAGACTGAAAGGAATTTGGCGCACGCACAAATCGCGTGCAATCGCGCATTCGTCCGACGAGCGAGTTTTTTCTCACGAATTGTACAGGATACGTGAGTTCCATTCTAATTTGTTCAATAGATTCTTACGAGAAATATTCGCCGATTATTTTTCCTTAACTCTGACGAGACTCAATATATTTATAAAAATAACAAAAATAATTCAGTTTCTGTAAATATGAAAATTTAAGGAATGAAATTATCCTTTGTGTCTACATTATCTGTTCGATTTATCTGCTTAAGTAGTACAAGTTTTGTATTACTTTTTATTTTGAAATGTTGTAATACATATTCTATGACTGTCTTCTATTAAATATCTAGATCTTTTATTACGGCCTTCTTACTTGCTGCTTGTTATTTTTCTTTCACATTAACTCGCGTTTGCATCAATTCGCAGCGATGCGAAACATAGTAAAATGCTTTTTGAGAACATTGCATAAGAGCCGCGCGCGAATCGCGTGCAAAACGCAAATCTCGAGCATTTCTCATCAAATATACACAAGTATACGAGCCCGATCTTATATCAGTGAAATCACCTCATATCTCGACTTGCGTTGGTGTTTTGCAAATCCAAGTAACGACGGAAGGCAGACGCGTCGAATATAACGAAATTGTAGAAATGCAGCGCAACTGCACGCTCGCGCTTCGCAAAAGCGGATGTTGCGCGAGGGTCATTGACTTTGGATGTAAGATACAGCTTAAATACTCTCGCCGAACGTTGATTATTATTTATTAGACAGTCAAGAAACTCTAATCCCTAAAAATTTCCTATCGTTTGTAAAACGTTTAAGAAGTTTATATCAAAATATATGTAACTATATGTAAATATATGTAACAAAATATGTGTAAATGATCAAGAGACATCTCTTCTCGAGATAGGAAAAAAATTATCACTCGCAAAATCGTGTCACTCACCAAATTTGAGAGTAGAATTAATTTCTCGCGTGCTGACACGACTTTAAACATCCTCGCTGTCTGATGAATTATATTCTAAAATCAGCAGTTGCTATTGTAGCTTATACAAGACGCAAAATCGGCGTCTCGTTGACTGCGTAACGGTTCGTGCTATTCAATTAACATATTTAACGCGTTCGCATATTCGTGCTTGCAACACGCCGACAAGAATCCGCGGTGCGGCCGGCCGGCCAGTCGGACCAGTGAGGTAAACGAAATAGTTATGAGCAAGCCCCGTTAATTTCATTGAGTGCTATCTAGTCGTAAATGCTATCGCAGCGAGTGGTCGCGTTCACTCTAACGAACACTACTACTACATTCCGTGAAATCAGAACATGATGAAAAAACACGATAAATTGAGCATCTTACAATTCAAAAGTATAATTCTTATTATGATGTACAATTCGGACAGTAACTGAAAGTCAGGTAAGCAAAAATCTCGTTTCAAAAATAGTTAATTTTCGTCTTATTTTCGCTTCTATTTTTATTTCATTATATTTTACCGTTCGTTAAAAAAATTGATAAACTATATTTTTTTTAATTTATTTACCGACGCAAGTTATTAAAAAACCAAATATTAAATTATCACACGCAGTGTGAAACAGTTAACACGGAAGTAATTAATGTCTATTTCTTATAAGACATGTCCATTTCATTGGACGCAGCAACGTAATTTCTGAGAAGGAAGTCGATCGATAAAGATCGTGGCGATGTTAGACGCGCGCGAAGCAGGTGCTACGCGCGCGAGCTATTCGCCTCGTGTTACGATACGCACGTTACATGTTCATATTTCCGAGCATGCACGTGCCACGAAAAACAAAGACCGTAATCTAACCACTAACAGATTTATAATCTGCACCTAGGAAGATGTGCAACTCCATGAGCGGCAGCGCCATCAGCTTTAATATATGGTTAACTCTTTGAAAAAAATTCTCGATATAAAATGAGATTATACTCTCATAAATCAAAAAACAGGCTTTTTAAAATTTAAGTCCAGCTAGCTACAACTAGCAACAAATGGTAATTAAATTTGTATAAATTTTAAACAAAATATCTTTAATATTTATAATATGTAAAATATTTAATACACAATTTGTGCAATCAAAATTTCAATCGATAGATTACATGGAATGCTGTTGCTGAAAGGGAAATTACATCGATTGAAAGTAACATAGTTTTTGCTCGTGATTCAATACTACTTTTTGCGCATTAACTGTGCGAATAAACTGAATCTGAATTATAAATCAAATTTCAAATCTGTTCTCGAAAATCACATGTTACATTTTTTAAACACTTATCGTCGCAAACAATTGTTCATTATATCTGTCTAATGTAGGTTGCTAGCGCTGGCATCATAGTAATTGTTAAACCGCAAACCGGGGCAGAACCTGAAGCCGAGGTCTGATTTGAAAAGTACTTTATCCTACCGGCGGTGTGCATGATCGTCATCAACGCACGCAGCCACGTGGATCGCAAGTTACCGAGAAATCGATTAGAGACCAGGCAACCAGCCTGCATCTTGCGACGCAGAAAAATGAAGCTATTCCCGTGAATTATCACAAACGAAAAAGTATTGCTCTTTATTGCGAAAACAAAAAGGCAAAAAATGACCAAGAAGAGATTGCCGTAATTTGCCGAAATAACGAAAATTATAGCGCATAAATCGATTTAATTTAATAAATCGATAGTTGTATTTTGTCGACAAGAGTAATATACCAAACTAATTGTTAAAAAGAATACAAAATTTAAAAGAATTCTAGACACTAGACTAATTTCTGACGAAATAATCTGGCAGATCTGCAATCTACAATGTTATGCTATTAATGCTTTAATCGTCTTGTTACAAATTAGAACAAGCCAGAAGGCTTAATTAAACCTATAATTATTAGTTATTAAGTTATGACTAAGAAAAGAGAGCACGAGCGTCAATGAAGTAACACCGAACACTAAGATTTAGCATTAGTATGCCTAATTTCACATTCAAAACGATTGAGAGATTCTCACTGTCCTAGAAAACGCATATAATTTTAATTATTCATCAACAATTATTTATTTCTCTTTTATTATTTATTTCTGCAAAAATTTTCAGATTAATACCATATTTCATTCCTTGACATTTATGTCAAAACGTTAAATGAAAGCTGTTAAAAACAAGGTTAGATTAATACTTGCGTATAAAATTTACATTTTGTTTTTCTAATTTATATTCACATCTTGGAATAGAATTATGTGCAAAAAAATGTTTGGGTCGTTTCGAGACAATCTGCTCAAAATACAATGGTAAGTAGTACGTGCCTCGAGTAAATAAGCCAATGTAGGACAGTAAAATGGAGACAAGGCGCCGGAATCGTATGGAAAGGATAAAAGTTATTCCGATGTAAATATCAGGTCACCGCTATTTCACCGTTATCCTTAAAACAAGAAACGATTGTCATATTACGTCTATCATCATACTTTACTACCGTGACAAATACATTTAGAAAATTACTGGTATTACTTTCAAATTTCGTACTATTTACGTAAAACCCTGCATTTGACGAGAATCAAGACAATATGTGAATAATAATCCTTTCAACATGTGATCAAGTGTTTTGATCTCAAAGCTATGATTATTTCTTAAATATCACTTATGCAGCACATTAAACACAATTACTTTTTTACAATTAAATATAGAATTTTTTTGTGATTGCTATGTTTTATATTGTGAAATTTATAGAGCATAGATTATAAAAACTTCGGTTCAGTTGCATTCAGATTAGAAAAAATAATTAATGACTCCTTCTATATACGAAATATATAAATATGTTTTGCTGTAACTAAGTTTCGCTTCTCTGTCATAGACGGTTCTACTGGCACTCGTCTGCTTTCGTTCGTATGTGGTACAACACGTGGTTCCGACACTTGAGGTTTCGCCCACGCCGTACGAACCACCGTAAAAGAAAAGTGGATAATCAGGGCATAAGTAGGAGAGAAAAGGTACGCATCGGACTCGCCTTCTTTTTCTTGCTCACTCACGCCAGATACTCCCGTTACTTCACGGAATTGTGGGAAATTGGGTACTGAGCCAGGTTAATTAAACATACGCCGACCTTTTGTTTTCAAGGTGTGATACGTGCTGATGTGCGAGCTATACGTACGCGAACTGGTGATTAAATCCTACAACGCGACGGAGTTGCGCATACTTATCGCAGCAGTTGTCCGATGATTCCAAGAGTTAAAAGATTTTACTGCTTTTTTAAGCGATATTAAACTACTAACAATGTTCGGATGTGAATAAATTAAACAAATTAGATTTTTTTAATAGATCAATGATAATCATTGAATTAAAAAAGACAATCCTAAAAAATATGGAATTAATTGCGTTTATACGCATTAATCAAGCGACATCTTTGAAGCTTGGATTTATGATTGGATTTAAATATAGCACTGATCATATTATGCAACTCGTAAAGCAATCAATAATTTCGCAATGTCACGTCATCATTATATCACTTAAGTTTGTCATTTACAACGTTGTAATATCATTATATCATTTATAAATAAATACAACGTCGACAGATTACTGTTTATCCGTATGGAAATCTATTAATTCGAGTTTGGTTAGGCAAGGTACATGAATATCAATTATTGATGCGCGACCGACACGACGGAATAATGATGAAACCTGCTCGCGTCCCGGTTGATACTTGACACCGATTTATTTAATGATAACTACAACATCGATCTCTTGTAGTTTCAACAGGAAACGGCACGTATTCAAGAGGACAATAACTGGATGTGACTCAACGGCGATCGGAAGAAACCAGCTGCTGGTCGAGTATGCGTAGTTAAAGGAAGTGCTTAAAGAATATACATTGAAGGAAAAAAAAAATGTTTGACGCGACGGCGACACGTGGGAAATGCAAGTAACCGCCACTTAACTGTGAGATACAATCTCGGTCGTTAACCCGCGGCAAAAGTAGCCTCGTATATGTTATTGGAATAAAATGTAAACCGATCAACGATGGCGAAAATCTCTTCTTCATTTCCAGGAAAGGCTACTTCCCTCGTCGGAAAAATAACAGAAACTAAAAGAAATAATATTGTGGAATACACGAGAGTGACTCGTGAATTTCTCTCAAAGTCTCGTTATCGAGAAATAAGTATTTGTTGTAAAAATTCAAACAATAGCTCATTTTTTTACACGATTATTGTAAATTTCAACACGTCTCTTTCAGTGATCTAGTTTTTCAATTCCTTTAAAAAAAAATCTTGATTGGGAAGTAGCACAGTTATGCATCTCAGCTTTAAGCTCATCATCATTAGAGAAGCATTTCACCACATCCTCCGCATAGTCTAAATGTCGTGCCATCAGATTACCACGCATTACAAGAGGATCCAAGAGGATTTAGATTATATGAAAGATGTAAAACACTTTTCTAATGACGACAAACTTAAAATTGCGGTGCATAACTGAGTAATTTACCAACTAAAAAATGTTTTCAAGAAATTGGAAACCCGTCGGATTGCTGACAGAAGTGTGTGACAAAGATGACAATTGCTTGAATTGAATAAATATTTATTTTTTAATAATAATTTTGTGGAAAACTTTCGACTCGTTCCCCGTATTTTGGGCTATATTTCTTGAATCTAAAAGTTGGCCGATATCTCTAAGTCAATGAACTAACGATAAAAATTGTAAAAAATGCCACAGTTGAATTTACTGGAAATGAAAACCGGTATAAAAGCGTTCGATGAAATTGCCGATACCGTTAAATTACATGGGACATAAAACATATGTTTTAAGGTACGTCTCGACGTACTGAAATTTCATGCGTCCAATAATATTCCATAAATCTTGCATCAAAATACCGCGAGCAAATAGGTAAACGACTTTCTTCACGATAGTACGCCGCGTCGGCTTCGAGAACTTTTCACACGTTACTACTGCGATAAAACCGCATCCGCCGGCCACTTTCCACGCCGTGGAAAAACAAGCAAGGGATTGTGGAAAGTCGATTACATGCGTGCGCGGTTGAGATGAGAACGCGTGCTGCGTGGGTACGCTGCGCCTAGTTTATGAGACATATGTTTACGCGTTTAACGACGAACACGCGCGCCTAGGCTAGTGGCGTCTCAAAGCAAAGATGACGTTAAAGAATTATCCCGTTTAACCGGATGGAAAATAGAAATTTAATCTATAGACGGACTAACCTAATCTATAGATGGATCTATAGACTATCTCTCGCAGGAAATTCGCGAGATTAGTTGGACAGAAAGTCCTGCGAAATAATTAGATTATATTATTGATATAAAAATACTTTTAAGAAACAACTAGCGTTAACTGGAACGAAGACACTTTACAAGTTTTACCAGTTATTATTATCATTTGAATGATGCTTAACGCAGATCCAGTTTGCCGTCACGCGACGTTAGCGAGTGAAGTTTTAAATCAGATAAAGAAGAATCGGTGTATCTCTCACCAAATGCACATAGATTCAAATGCGCATGCATTACATTTATCATGCGCTAATTAGCGAGTAACCTTCGCTTATTTTCAGGCATCTCTTGTCTGCGAATTGCGTGCGTAATCGAGTGCTTCGGTAATTCATTGTTAAGTTCAATAACACTGCGAGCGTGAGATGATCTCGACCCCGAAGTGAATCTACCAGAAATTATATCACAAATATTAAATATATATATATTATACATTAGAGACACATAAATTCTTTTAAGATATCTCACATATTGTATGTTAAACAGCCTAGAGTTGCATGTGTTTCAAATGATTTTTTCCACTGCCAATGTAAATAAACTTATTATTGTAAAACTAACAACTTTTTACAATTTAAAAAAAATTTTACGCATTTTACATTAACATTATACTTTTTGGTATAAATTCGAAAGTTGGTACTAATTTAGGCGATTCCACAATCAATGTATAATGATTCGATTAGGCGCCGTATTGCATATGTGCACTTGATTAATGGCAGTTTCGTCGTCGGTTTCGCAAAATAGAATGTTTCAATGGTACGTAAAATAGAGAATGTCGTTACGAACTGAAGGCATTGTCTCAAAATCAGTCAACTCATTAAATTTCTTAGCGTTTAGAAAGCGACAAGTGAATGAGGTGCAATAATGATTATAATAATCTTCAGTGCATTAATGAGCCATTATATTTTCTACGGGAGATTAATTCATCTTTTGCACGAAATACGCAGTACTAAAGTTTTCTAAAAAGATATCCAATTACATTTTATGGAAAATTCATAACGGATCATTATATGAAGACACGATGAAAAAAAAATAATCATGAAAATAATCATGTTTTCTTATACCGCGTTTTATTTTATCAACACAAGTGGATACACAAGTATGAAATATAAAATTTGTAAGATACAGAGATAAGGCTCTTTAAATGCACGTAACTGCAAAACAAGCAAACTACTTCATTTTTTAATTAAGCAATAAGTAATTATTAATAATTTAAAGAATATCTCAAATTAAATTAATACTTAAAATTGAAAATTATATTTTAAAGAATATATTAAAATTTTTCTATTTCTCAATCAAGCTGATTATCTTTTAAATCATTGAATCAAGAATTCATACATTTTCTTGTATCGTTAGTTTAAGTATGAATTAATCAATTGATAGCAAATGTATAATTTATACGCCCATTTATCAAATTATTATTATCAAGTTTTAAATAACCATTATTTACAATATAAAATTTAACTAATAAGTAATGATTAATATCAACAAAAAAATCTACACACCTTTGACGACCAGAGCAATGCAAAGGAAGAAAAATGTCGCGATTTTGCGTTCCATCTCCTCGACGAGTACGATTTTCCACGTGAACTCCGAACGTCCCCTCAGTACGTCGAGACAGTTTGTAGAAAAACTCTGAGTAGTTCGGTTACCACTTCGATTCGGGATAATAATACGCTCGCAAAAAGCGCACTCCGTCGGTCCCGCGAGAATTCACCGAATGCACTTCTTCGGGAAAAACGTCATTTCGGCGAGCGAATCTTTTTTTCCTCTCTTTCGGAACACTGAACGCGAACCCCAGGTGCCTTCCCCAGATACGTTCGTGCGAGGGTTAGAGCGGCAATGTGGACCCTGCTCGTGTGCCCACTGACAGTACTCGTGGACGGTACTACGGCGACTCTCGAAACTTTCGTACCGATGTCGGGCGTTCTTTCCTGAGGACTGAGGCGCTTACTCTCTGGCAGGAAGTCATCCAGGTGTTCTGCTCCCCACCTGCTGTTCCGCGCTACCACCACCTCGACAGGTAACGACCGCTGTGCCGGTTGCTATCAGGAACGAGGCTGGTCTGTGCGACTGACTGACTGTTCTCCCCCTTCTCCACTTACGCGCCTCTCCTCCGGTATTCAGGCCAATCTTACGAGCCAGCATGTCACCGAGCGAGAAGGCGATAACCCTATCCCACAGGATGGGATTAGTTATTTTCCTTCGCCGAAGAACGATTTTCGAGCGATCTCTTACCTAAGTGAAAGCGCTCGGAGGAATGCAACGTATTTAAAAAAAAAAAAATTCTGACATAGTTGTATAGAAAGTTCATGAAGAGGAATGCATTTAGACTACATAATTCGTGCGTGATATCTAAAAGACTGCATTTATACCAATTTTAAGATACTCATAATTGCAGTGTACGAAGAAGAAAAATTCCGTTTACATTGAGCATTCTTTGAAATCAATGACGGCAAAAAGTTACGTGCGTCGCGTAATGCGCGTAACGTTATTGCAGTGAAATGTCGAAAACGTCCAATCCCAATTGATATAACTGAAGCTTTACGTTGAAGTTAATTCTAAGGATCGAGCGCACAAAGTTTCTCGATTCGCGTTTTTACATAATTCTCGACGTTTCTACTCAGCACCGTAATGGACAATTATCAACATACAATCGTCTCATGCGGGATGTAATTACAGTTTCACAGGGCAGAGCGCATCGCGCGCGCTGGGACCATAGAAATGGATTCGAGGCGTCTTGCGAAGGAAAATAATAGATATGTAGAGCTCCTGCGAACGCAGGTAGTTGCGAAAACTCATGGAAACTCAACGGCAATTTGTAGCAATGTGCTCGTGATTGAGAACAATATGAGTATAATTTTGCGGAAAGCACAAGTGCGGTCACGTAATTTGTATGTACGCGAACAACTTTGTTTGCAACGTTGAATTAAATTAATTATAAAGAAGATATTTTTTACAAAAATATATGACGCAACAGGATTTTTAAAAGACCTCATACGCCAAAGTGTGTCTAAAGATCATAAAATTTACTCGAATATTCGTAACAGAATTTCTGTTCTCAACTTTCTTCTTAAAAAAAATATTTTTAAAGTTATGTTCTCATATTTGTTACATTATTATTCATATGTACATAGTTTGCTGCTTAAATAAGGCTACACATTTTCTTTCTTCACAGAGAGAAGCCAGAAAGAAGTTAAAAACTAGGAAGACGATCACCCAACCGCGTCACCCTAAACCGGCTCATCTAGCCCTCGACGCTTCCTCATTCGAGTTAATTATGGTTTGTTCTTCATGCTAACAATGAGGGGCATCCATAATTCTATCTTTGTAGAGTGCTTCATGCGTGTTGATGAACGCAACCATGAAATTTAATAATCTACGTATTTCACATGCTCGGAATTCATCGCTGCTCCAGCAAGTATCACAATGGATTTTGGGAAATATTTTCAGAAAAAATACATCGTTACTTCAAAACATCATAGTAAGAGCAAGCATTGACGACGCTATATTCTTGATTTCAGAATCAAACAATTCCTTTACTTTTTGACTTTCTTCAATATTTAGCTCGAAGATATCTCTATTCAAAATGCGAACTAAAAGACGGTAAATTATCTCCACTTTTTAAACACATAAACTTTGAATAACAGCTATGCGGTTTTTCGAATATTACCATCAAGAGTAGGTCGAGCAAATTTTCTTACACATTTAATCTTTCTTGACGAATTATCTTACTCTTAATCTTTCCTAAGAACGTCAATAAGGAAGTCAACGTTCAACAAAGAGTCACGTAACCGAGTTCTTGTATGTAAAAGCGGTTTCCGCACCGCATTCCGTGACACTCAATGAAGAAGAGGTCGCAATTGATTATTCAATTAGAAATGTAATGTGCGAACATGCAAGCAGTGACTGATGAGTACAACTACTTTTACGCGCGCGTTTACGACACGTTGCATTATTAAGGCACCCGTGCGTGATTTTCGATTATCACAGTTCTTGCTTACTCTGTTCTATTTTGCGGTGGAACGGACACTCGATCGCTCAGTTGATTATAATACAAAGATCAAAATGCGGTCAACCGCGTACTATGCAGCGTGTGCAAAGAAGCATTCAGATCTCTGCGACGTAAATCGCGCGCATTGAAATCTCCTTAAACCAAGAATCAAAATGCTACATTTACTAAAACAAGTGTCTTCTCAATTAACTGTTAAAGTTGTGTTAATTTTTAGAAAAAATATAGATATAATTATATATTTTTTAAAAAATAAACACATGATTTTATAAGATTCTTTTGTGGTAGCAATGTTATATATGTCGGATCAACCGCACGATTTCCTCGACGTACTAATTTCAACTTCTTTGTCCAGTTGTGGAATCGAGCACAGCACATTGTCTCCGCAGTTGACTTTGCGAAACATGACTACGACATATCGGATCGACGTATGTCGCAGGGCCAGATTTGGTAGAAGACGGAAATGCGGTACGACGAAAGTCAGCGGTGTGTGTCGCTCCGCGAGTCGCCTCGAATCGAGTCACTTGTTAGTAACGCCGGCTTCCTGACCCACATACCGCGACCGCCATACAACAAACACGTAACACTTTGTAGCCGCATGTGTACTCACGAACAGGTACACACCTGCGCCGCGCACACACACATATAAATCACGAATGCACAGGTACGCTTATTTCGCGCGAGTGCCTGTATACTCTGTCGTCGTGTAAGATCGGATTTTCGTTCACGTTCCCGACGATTCTGGCACAGAACAATCCGCGAGCATTAACTCGGGACAAAGCCTGCATACCGCTATTGGTCGTTTAAAGAATAATATCATAACTTTACTGTACGAAAAAAACGCGAAATAAGTCGTCAAATTTTGCAAAGACTCAAGTGGGATTTGCTAACATTGAAAATACGTGCCTGTCGGTACTTGAGCTTCGATGTGAACGACACTGGTCCAACCGAGACAAGGAACGCAAGAGGCTGCTTAGATAAATGAATAAAAAGTTTCATGTGCGTAATAATTATTTGTTGAGTAAAATCTAAACAAAACTATTGCAGATTAATTTTGTTATATTTTTAATATCGATACAGTACCGTTTCGCCATTATTTAATTACAAGAGTAACAACATAAAACCAACATATAGTCGACATGAGCCGATTAAAACAGTACTATTAAACAATACATGATTAATGTCAAATTTACAAAAAGTCGGTATTGAACTAGTGTCATTTATGCTCAAGTGCCGACATCGAGCATATAGGCTCGTATTTTCGATATTGGCAAATCTCACCTGGGAACTATTATATCTTTTATGTTATAATTTTTATATGTAAAGAGAGAAAAAAGAGACAAAATAAACTTGAATTAATTACAAGTTATATTAAGTCGCTGCAATCATTTTTAATCATCTTCCGCAAAATTTCGCAACTAGAATATAAAACTTTCATATATTATATTTCTCTATTATATAAACTGGCATGAGAGCTCGATTGCTTGATATTCTGTCATCTCAAAACGCAAAGCGAGATACAACTTTAACGCACCATTAATTTTTCTCCGAATTATTCAATTATCACATAAGGAAATTTCCTGCGCGTAATTTACACTCACTTTAACGGCAACAGGAACTACAAACTTTTCTCTTTTACCTTTCACCTCGATCGTCAAGCCTCGCAATGACGACAACTAAATTCCGCGAGTCTCTACTGCGTCATCACTACTACGGGCGTTATTAAAGTTGTGAAGTTTTGCTGATTAATTATCGGGGAATCCGGACGCGTATGAAGGCAAGGTTATTGACCGGCATGTTCTAATCTGGTAAGACCGAATCGGAGCTTTTTCCGTTAGTCGTATCGAGGACCTAACCATATTCACAACACCGGTTCTTCATTTCATGCATACAAATGGAGGAGTCAGCATCTTCGAATTGTCAGATTATCGAATAGCGATTGTAAACCGGCGTTTAATTCGCATTACACAAGTCACGTATTTTAAGAAAATTGTTTATTTAGAAAAAAGATCGAATATCAATGTCACTAATTTTGAAGGATCTAACTAAATCAACAGTTAGAAATTCTAGAAATTTCTTAAGTACTTGAATAGTGTGTATTGAAGAGATTTATGTCTATCGAGATGGAATGGCGGAAGATTCGATCTTTCCGTGAAACCAACGGATGTAGAGTTACGATTGCGATACCGCCGCGGTGTGCTTTTCTTTCCCAGAGCACATGTGCACGCTATTAGTACACTTAAATTGTTCTTTGCCCGTGTGATGTTTTCCCGCAGCTTGTGGCTACTATACGCTACGTGCATCTGCCGTTGCATCTAGTGTGACCCCGATCTAGCCGTAGGAATTCGTTAAGAGAGTCGATGTCTATGGAAAGTCAAAGCAACGAAGAGATGGAAGATATAGTTGCGATTATATTGTTTTGTCCGTTCGCATGCGCAACTCACGTGTATTTTCTCACATAGCCACGCATTTTCCACCACCGTTGAGGCCAGTTTACGTTCTTGTGTAATTCTAATCAATTAATCAAGTAACGGGTTAATTCAGTGGTGGCTAATTAACACAATGGATAAAAAAAGAGGCATGATTTTCAATTAAAAATTTTGCGTGCAAATTTCCAAATGCATTGTAAGTAAATTGCGGCTAGAAAATTCTTTACAGTCAAAAAATGCATTTTTTATTTATGCGGATTGCTCAAAAAATAATTTCTTATGCAAACATCAAAGAGAGGCTATTAAATTTTTATTCACAGTTAAATTAAATATCGTAAACCACCAAGAATTCATGTTAAAGTAAATTTAACTTCAACAAAGTTTATTTCGTGCAATTATCGTTATTATAAAATTTTTTCAATAAGTTTTTAGCAATTTTTATGCCTAAATATTAGAGAATTATATCGTAAAAATGGCTTTCAGTAATTCATTAATTAAAGGCTTTTAATTGGATTACATTTGCGATTATTTACTCATTGCGCACAATAAGTTTGTGTTTTCTTGCGTGTCAAAGTATCTTCACCTCTATCTTTTATTGCATTTTTTGCTGATTTTATTAGGTAATTACTTATCCTCCGTTCGTTGCATCAAGCCTTCTTCCGTAACGCGTTGTGAAATTTTTATGGCTATTAAATGACGGTGATATCTAACTCGCAACGGACGTGCATAGAACAGCGTGCACTGCGATAATGCATTCAAATGAAGATAT